TTCTTTGCCCAGGAGCTCTACCTCTCACGAACAATTAATGATATTGACATCGTGCACCATGCATATATTACTCCACCGACAGGCTCAGCTCCACTATTCGTCATGCACCACGGTGCCGGTTCGTCTGGCCTTTCCTTCGCAACCTGCGCCGCAGAGATTCGCAAGATCCTCCCGAACGCCGGTATACTTTCTCCCGATGCTCGGGACCATGGCAGTACATCTGTAACCAGGGCAAGTGAAGTCGGGGATGCCGAACCGGCGAAGGTCCAGCTTGATCTGAGCTTGGATACATTAAACCAAGACCTCCTCTTCGTTATCCGTGAAACGCAGGCCAAGATGGGCTGGGAGGCTCTGCCAGACATCGTCCTTGTCGGACACAGTTTGGGAGGTGCGGTTATCACGGACGTTGCGAAAAAAGGTGAACTCGGTGCCAAGTTACTAGCATATGCTGTTTTGGATGTTGTCGAAGGTACCTTATAATCTCACCCTGATCATTAGGGCCTGGCTGCTAACAGTCAACAGGATCCGCAATGGACGCGCTCCAAAGTATGGAAACATATCTCTCAACCCGGCCATCACGCTTCCCATCTGTAGCTTCCGCGATAGAATGGCAGTACGTTTCTCCACTCCAGTCTACAAAGCCTTGCTAACAATTGCCTACACAGCACACGATCGCGCACACTCCGCAATAGAACCTCCGCCCGCGTTTCTGTCCCATCCCTTATCTACCATGAAGACACACCCACAGACCCAGCAAAACCCTGGATCTGGCGTACTAACCTCGCCGAAACGAAGCCCTTTTGGGAAGACTGGTTTGTCGGGTTGAGTCGGAAATTCCTGGAGGCTCGCGGAGGGAAACTCCTGCTTTTAGCTGGCACTGATAGACTGGATAAAGAGTTGATGATTGGCCAGATGCAAGGTCTGCTCTTAGTTTTCCCCTCTCCCATCTTCCTTCCAAACTCAAGAGAAGAGTTGCGCATACTAATTGTTGAATGTGCAGGGAAATACCAACTCCAAGTCTTCCCAGACGCAGGTCACTTTATCCAAGAGGATCTACCTGCCAGGACAGCGCAGATTCTTGTCGATTTTTACAAGCGGAATGATCGCAGTGCACTAGTTCTTCCTCCCAAGGTAGCCGATATGCAGGCATCCGCAGCAATGAAAAAAGGAACAGTCACTGGCTTACCTTCGGAGAAACCCGAGGGTGGGAGTACAGGTTCTTTTAAACGGTCTTAATTGACAAGCCTCATATCTTACACATATAATATTATACCGGGTACGGTGAAGCTGGTCTTCGGTACATGTAATAAACGAAGAGAGCGATTAAGAAGAGAATTTTATATCTCAAATTCACGATTCATTATGCCTTGAAAGCTGCTTGCTAGTAGTTACGTGATAGTAATATCCAACCACCCCGAAGGAATTAAAAAACACCAATGCCCTCTTCAACCCAGCCGGGACGCCGTCAGGTTGACCTGCCAAAAGCCCATGCAAAACGGATTATCCCCCTCACAGGAAGTGTGATGTGAGGCATAACCTAAGGAAAATAGTTCGAAAAGAGACGCGCGTAGACGTAAAAAGAAATGGGTATCCGGCGCTCTAGATGTGCGCTCAAATTTCCTCGTGAAAGACTTTGTTCAATCAGGGAAGATAAGCGCCGCCAGCAATAATCAGGTTCATGTTGGTGAATTTCACCTTATACACGGGACTCTTCTTGGTTGGGAAGGCACTGATCTGGTCTGGCGAGACGACAACGTCTTTGCCCTTTTTCTTTCCATGGCCCATTCCGGGGCCGACAGCGCTTGAAGTCTGTGCGGCATTCGCGGTACCGGACGCCCCATCAATCTTCGTGCCTGCGCCGCCTTCGCCAACGACTCGGCCCTGGGATGAGTCCTGTGCTGGGCCGGTGACATCCCATACGCGGACTGTGCCGTCTGCGCCGCCGGAGACGAGAACGTTCGATTCTACGCTCCAGCTGAGGGACCATATTCCTCCCTTCCCGTGGCCGCGCATGCGTTTGAGGAGGCGGCCGGGTCCTAGGTCCCATAGCAAAATGGAACCGTGGTCATCTGCCGATGCGAGGGTTCTGCCGTCACGGCTACAGGCGAGTGCTGTGATGTTGCCGGTGTGGCCGGTGAACATACGGACTGCATTACCAGTTGTTACGGCCCACATACGTACTGTATGGTCGGAGCTACCGGTGAAGATGTAAGCGGAGTTTGGATGGAAGCAGACGCAGTCAACGTCGTCATCGTGGCCGACAAAAATGCGCTGTTGACGAATATGGTCTGTCACCCAGAGACGGGCTGTTTTGTCGTGACCTCCAGAAACGAAGTAGTGGCCGAAGGGACCCCACTGGAGATCCCATACTGGTTGATCATGACCCTTGTACACAACCATGCATTGCCATAGGTCGAGGGACCAGAGTCGAATGGTTCTGTCAGCAGAGGATGAAAGCAACCAGCGGGCATTTGTTGGCGCAACGGCATTTTCGGTGGGGGTTGCAGATGGGGCAAAAGAGACTGCGTATATTGGCCCTGAGTGTCCGATTAGACGGCGTGAATTCGTTGGGTGGTCGTCCACATTGTCATCTGCTGAGGTGATCTTCTTTCCGTCTAGACTCCAAACGCGGATGTATGACTCCTGCATACCAGCTGCAACGAGTAGATTGTCATCCGAAAAGTCTAGACAATTGACCCTGAATCAAGTTAGTAAGATAAAATCTTAAACTGGAGTTCTCGAACTAACCCATCGTAGGTGTTGTGAAAAGTGAACATGCAAACACTAACGGCAGGACCGACACCCCCGGTCCTAGATTCAATTCGGAACCTATCACGGTTCTCTTTGACTTTCTGCACCTCGATGGCCACATCGCGGGCAGTCGATGGAGGATATGGAATATCGGCGCGAGTCGGAGCTTCGTCGTCATCCTCTTTTTTGATCATTTGGTCAAGCTCCTGCACTAGAGTGCTTTGACCAGGAGCTGGCGGAGTCTTTGCGTCTTCGTCTGCGAGCTCCGCACGCACATCACCTTCGAGATCCTGCTCCATGGAAAGTTTCGCTAGTTTGAGTCGGGGCAAAGTACCAGCCATCGCAGGATTATCACCGGTGTATGCGGAGCCAGGGTGATGACCCGGAATACCCTCGTCTTCGGTGGGGAAACTCTGCCCCATACCAGCTTGGGTGAGCATCGCCGCAAAGCTGAACCTATCATCGGCGGCTCGCTCTTTGGTGATAATGGTACAAAAGCTGCTTAAAATCGCCGACATGACCGAACCACCTTCTTTCTGCTTGCTTTCAAGGAATTGCATCAAGCTGCCAAAGGCAGGATTGCTGAGCACTAGGCGATACTTGTTGCCACGGTATAATTTGGCAATCGAATTATCTTGAACATGTTCGGGCAGGCTGATGGGCTCCAAGGCCCGCACATCCTCCGTATGCTCTGGCAAAAACAGATTTTTGTTGGCCTCAAAGAACTGCTTAGACTCAGGTGTGTATGAAGAGGTCACCATATTCAAGAAAGAATAAACAAAAAGTGGCCATAGTACACGTCTCAGTTCCGGCTGTGGAAGTATTAGCATATCGCAAAGGCACTAAGAATGAGGTCGCACCTTATACAGGTCTAGATTATCTTCAACCCAGACCTTGAGCAAATCTAGTGAACAGAATTAGCGTTGTCTAAAGAGGGTAAAAGAGCTGTTAACCATCTTACCAAAACCAATCCTGTACTTAGGACGAGCATCTTCTCCCAAGGGAGGCAATGGCCTGCCATCTATCTCTTGATTCGCAGACTCCATACGAAGCATGGCCTCCGTCCGACTGTACCCCTTCTTAGCGAGGTAGTCGATGACCTGAGGAAGTCAGCAAGACATTAATAAACACCGAGCCGACAGATGCAATGGCTAATCTTAAATTCCAAGCAAACAAATGCCAAACAGCAAGCTGGAGAAGGTGCTCACAATTTGGTTCAGGTTTTGTTGCGACATCGCTCCGCTGGGTGGAGGAGGAGCAGGACCCGGAGTTGGCGCTCCAACAGGTGTTGAAACCATTTGCTGTTGATGGGAAGGCATCGATACACCAGCACCGGGGCCCATACTCCCACTTCGCGGAGCAGGGCTCGGGGCCCCGCCAGGCGCAGACATGTTCACTCGCCCTGAGGCGCTCTCAGCCTACCTAGCCTATTAGGTGTGAGAGATTAGGCCCTAAAAGCGACGCGACTGGTATGCTGAGGCGCAAGGACGCAGAAGCGATGATGTCTATCCAAGACGTCTTTTTGATTTGATAGAAGTTGAACGAAGGTCAGTCTGTGTTTATGTAAGCATGGCTCCCCGAAACCATCACGTGACTTTCTATCACTTAGTTCGGGAATACAACCATGACGATCCATCTTCCCCAGTAATTCCTTATAAATCTTCCAACACAAAGCCAGAACGGCTTTAGATGAGGCGGCAGAAATATGGCTGAAGAAAACGGCACCGAGAAACCAGTTCAGGTTTTCAATTCGGCCGACCGCATTCGCCAATTAAATGAAATTGACAAGGTACGACCGACTCGGAACTGCGACTTGAATTTCCAGATGCTCATTCCAACGCTGATTCAAGAGTTCTCTACTAACTACTAATTAACTTTATAGGATGTAGCCAAATTAATTCACTCTGCTGGCCTTGCAATACAAGCACTCACAAATGCGAGATCCAACGACCCCTCATCCGCGGACAACTCGATTGATTCACATAAAGCTCGCTTCAAGGAAGCTACATCACAATACTTCGCACTCCTCTCGTCAATTGATGTTCGACTCCGCCGCCAGGTCTACGCACTGGAAGAAGCTTCAATTCTAGCCCCAGACTCGTCTTCTAAGACCGGCGACCTCTCTGGCTCGGCTGCAACCGCAGCAGGCGCGTCCAATCCATTGGACGTTAGCTGGTTGAACAGTAGGAAAGATACTGTGGGTAAAGAGAAGGAGGCGGAGCTATGGGCGGCTGCGAGACAATTCGTTGAGCGAATTAATCAGGCACATCCTGGCGGACAGACCGGGGTGAAGGGAGAAGGAGGCCAGGAGAGCATGGGGGTGGATTGATTTCTCTCCTCTGGTTATGATGAGCAGGCGTTTTATCAAATTTTCACGGAGAGAGGATACCCCGGTCATAGCCAGGCGCTGTTTTGCATGGCTTGCAGGAGCGATCCCTTTTACTTTTACCGTCCCCTTCTATTGGATGAGCGCATTGCGACCGGTACTGGATAACCGAACTCCTTTTATGATACCCGAATTCGAATGCACTGCTATAAACACTGTCTGTACAAATTACGAAGCGCCTTTGTGGATCGTAGATCGACTTTAATTGCACACAGACCGAGGATGTACCTACAAGGACTAGCCCCGCACCCGCAGGATACGCAAAAATAACTACTGATATTTGAAACAATCGCTATAACCACCGAACCCAAGATCCTGCCTACCGCTGCAGTCCTCGGAGCATCTCCTGTTGGGTGGCCCTGTCTCTATTGGTTTCCGACAGTGGTCCAACGCCTAGGTAAACGGTTAGCTTTTAGAACCAAAACCTCAGGATCGAATAAAAGCAAGACTTACTCCTGAGTTCGCCAACAACATCCTTAGCTTTACCAAAGTAGACCTCCTCTGCAAGTGCCACAAGTTAGCAAGGATCCTTATTTACCTGCGGTGGGCACCCCTTCAGAAGGAGAATATTTGGAGCACATACGCAGCAAATTCCTCATTTTCAATTCCATATCTTCCACCAGTTTCCCGACGTTGGCGACATGGCTTGCATCAGAGTCAACGGGCAAATCGACCTCGATCTGTCGGGTCATGTTCCCACTCAGGTCCATCTCACCAAGAGCTTCGGTTTCGTTGGAGAGGTGAAGAATCACTGTACTGGTCAGTTTGTAGTGAGCCTGACGTGCTCGATCGGTCGCTTCGAATACATGGATGCTGTCCCACTCGCCGGAGTGCTTGCCGCCTGGAGATACCCCTGTTCGTGGGCATATATCATCAGTACCGGAGCATCATAGACACGGGAGATTATCACTCCCTGTAATGCAAGACATCATTGCGATTAAAACGTACCCTTCTTCAAGAGAATAACGCCGGCAAACCCATCATCCAAATCCCAGAAGTAGACACTTCCAACACCACCCTCGTAGTAGAGTTCCCGGTAAACATCGAACGCTTCGTTCGCGGCAACCTCCAGCCTTCTCACTCTCTCGCTCGGTACTGTGCCATCGTCGAGCGGTGGGTCGAATTCATTGCTCCAGGGAGATCTGTAGCTGTCGCCATCACGGTTGTAATCGCAGAGGAGGTAATCCCGCTTCGTCTTGGGGCAGCGACGGATCTCGAGCGGCTGGTCGACGGAGGACAGGAGGTCTTCGGTAAGGTCTGGGATAATGGACGTAATGGCCTGTAGATTTTGCTTTGTATCGCGGGGGTTCAACCGCCGGAGAAGGTCGCTGCAGGAAGCATTGGTGTCAGTGGTAGGCTGCAGGCGGGGTTGGGCTTGGGGTAGGAATCACCCCCCGTTGGCATCTTCGAGAGAGGAGAGGCGGATTGGAGGAGAGAATCAATTTTACTGGGTTAAGGTACTTACAGCGCACTATCGAATTGAGCATCTGCCATTGTTATGGAATTCTGGAGAGTGTAGCTGAGTTCTGATGATGTTTACTGCTTGCTTCGGAGGTGTCCCTGAAGGCGGACGGGAGGTGCGTGGGCGCAGCAGTCTGACGTGTGTACCTATTAGGAGCTCCACACCTCTCCCCGCTAAAGCTACTGTCCCAAGTATGGATCTCATCAAGTATTGTTTTTTATATGTAGAGAGCCTAAAAGCCCTTTAAATTATACTGGCCTATCATTACTCATCACTGTCATAATCAAAAATAGCCCTCCGTTTCTGAATAGATCCGCGTCCGGCGTCCGGCGTAAGCAAAGAATTGGGATCAGGCAAGTCAAACTCGTCTTCAAGAGTGACAAGCTCACTGACCCTACGTGGAGGCTGAAACGGCTTCGGGCGCTGACGGCCCTCAGGTGCTGAGAACAGCTTGCTCGGGGATGGGAGATCTAAATCGGTATCCTCATCTTCAGAGACCCCCGGCAAAGGGTGGGGTCTAGTAGGCTTCGAGTTAATTTTGGTTGAGTGCCGACGTGGTCCACCCGTTGAAGACTTGCCAGGGAGAAGAGAGTCTTCGGAGGATAGTTTCGACTCGCGAGCTATTACTTCTTTGAAACGATCCTCACAGTCTGCCCCGACTTGGTTCATTCGCTGCAGTGCGCCGATGACACGCCGGGTGAGGGAGCTGTGTCTCACCATCTTAGTTGGTCGCTGGACTGACTGAAGTTGCGGGAAAGCATCACTCCGAGGATAGCGGATGAACTGTGGACTTGTTCCTCCTACATCCTGGTAGTTCTGCTTGAGTTCCTTTTGCTGAGTTGGAGTGAGCAGGACATCGTCGACGTCTGGAACTAGAACAGGCTCTGGTGTCGGTATCCGGGGTTTAGGTTTCTCCTTCGGTTTCTCCTTGGGTTTTGATTTCGGCTTCGATGTCCCTGTCAGGGTCGCTGCCGTCGTGAACCCTGTTTGGACGTTATCGGGCATGTGGAATTGCTTCGGAGGCTTCTTCGGGAGTCGTCCTTTGCGTTTCTTAGGCTCTGGTAGATCTCCGGCTTCATTCTCATCCGGTATATCGATATGTCGTTTATCCGGGGTAGGTTTCATGCCACTCGGTAGGATGCGCGGAGATCTATCATCGTGGAAAGTGAACTGTGTGCCGCTTGCTATCAATTGCTGCATCTTTTCGTAGTTGTCTTTCGCTTTGAGATAATTCTCCTCTTCCTTTCCTTGCATCAGGAGAAGGGTAATGTTACCGGCTCTTTTTCGACCTGTCCGTCCCATGCGTTGCAGCATGCGGATGGGAGAGGCGGAAGAATCGTAGCAAACAATGAGGTCGACTTCCCCAATATCCAACCCTTCTTCACCAATTGAAGTCGCCACGATGGTATTGTAAGTTCCTTTCTTGAATTTTTGGACAATATCAAGTTGGGTCTTCTGACCCATTCCCTCTGATCCCTTGGCGCTGCTCTGCCCAACAAAAACGTGAGGTCGAATCATGGGTTCATATCTCTTTAACACCCTTGTCACTTCTTCAGCGCTGTCTCGAAAATGCACGAAAATCATGACTCTGGTAGCTGTCTGGTTATCGCCGGTAGCCGTATGGGAACCTTCACCAGAATCCATAAAGTGGTTCAAGACAACCTGCTTTAGGTATTCTAACTTTGGATGGCCAATAAACTCAGGGTTCTTGGTCCATGGGCTGAGGTAGTTCATGAGCTTCTTGAAATGCTCGTCTTGTACGATCTGACGCTGGTACTTTCCACCTTTCTGTCCATCAGTATTAGATTGGAAGTGTAGTAGATGGCGATATAACGGAGTGATTCCATGATATTTGAGCAGATCGATACCGTGCGCCATACTCGCGAGAACAGTGAAGATCGCATTGACCTTTCCCTTCAGACCAAAGTTTGCATTCCTTCCAGCATCAGACATCATCCACTGCTGTCTCGCCTTGGTAAGTCCGTATGGTGTTAATGCCATCGGATCCCGCCCCCAAAAAGCATTCAGGGTACGGAGCTGATCGACAAGTGGTTGTAATGTGCTACTCAAAAGGTCCATGCATAGAATCATTTCATCCGAGTTCTGGAATGTTTGGATATCGGTGTTCCTGGCGTGCACATACTCTCGGATATCGAGTGACTGCTCCGTACGGATTTCTACCCTCGAAATATCAAGTCCATCAACAACAGCTTGCACCGATTCGACTGTGGAACCGGGTGTTGCGGTTAAAGCTAAGACGCGAAAGCTCTGGTTGAACCGCCGGAGAAACTTGACCACTTCCACATAGGCATAGCCACCAGTAGCGCGATGGGCCTCGTCAACAACAAGTAACACAATCCGTTTTGGGTCGGCGATCCCTGATTTGAGGTCGTTGGTTAAAGTCTGGGGAGTCATAAAAAAGACCCGCTTCGCCTTCCATTCCTCTGCACGAACCCCAGGCGGAGCTTCGCCTGTGAGCATGGTTGTCTGTGAGCGCGGAATACCCGCAATTTGTAGACATGCAGATATCTGTTGAGCTACCAGCGGTTTCGTAGGAGCAACGAATATAATTTGAGCATCTCGAGTCCAACGTAGCCAATTGAGCATAACAGTGGCAGCGATAAAGGTCTTCCCCAGGCCAGTAGGCAGAGCTACGAGCAAGTTATGAAACAGGCCTTTTTGAGTGATATTGAACTGGTAGTCGCGAGTCTTGCCCAGGTTTGTGGGATATATCCATGTCTCCAAGGAGTCTTGATTGAGTTTGTGTTGAGTTGGAGGCTCAACCTTATCTGGCGGGGATATCATCTGTTCACCACGTGGGGGCTGGCTTGCCGGACTTCGAGCAGCTATATCAAATAAGGTCGTTTGACGCACGCCTAATGGACGCATCCGAGCCTCGGATGTGGCCCAAGGTACTTGTGGCGTTTGCCTTGTCGGCGGTGATAAAGATAGATCCGAATCGAAAGCATCGTCCGGGATGTCATCAAAGAGATCTGCCGACTCGGCTGTGTTGGGCGCTGTGGCAGACTCAAGGTCTTTTGAAGCGGCCGAGCTAGTATCCCTTGTATTTTCCTCTTCAAATGACTGCAGAGATGCCTCGATCGCAGCTTTTAAGCCTTCATCGTCATCGCCATAGTCGTGCTCCCGGCCGGGCTCCTCAGCTTGAAGCTCGGCGTCGGCTGTGTCAACGACCGGAGGTGGTGGAGGGACGGGATCAGGTTTCTTCCATCGAGGGCCACGAATCATCTCAGGTGGTGACGGGGGTTGGGTTAACTGCGTGACGAATATGTTGTCCCGTATGCTGCTTTGCTTCGAAACGAACGTCTTATATTTGGACTTCTGCTCCCCTGGATCGTCTCGGGAATAGAAAGATGATTGCCGCGAAGAACGTCGGCGGTGCTCATCGTCATCGCTGTAGGAATCAGACTGGGATCCGAAGCTCTCGTTGTTACTCTCGTCACTGTCGGTTCTCCGGCGCGACCGCTCGCTTCGAGAACTCACACGGCGTCGTTTTGCTGATCTCGGGGAGTCATCGTCGCGGACCACAAAATCGTCCAGGTCATCGTCCAAGTAGTCGGAGGAGCCTCCATCAAGGTCGGACATGTCGGGTTGCGGCGTCTCCCATGAGGACAACTTAGAGTGGCAGATGAAGAGAACGCGACGCGAGGCATCACGAAACCACGTGACTATATTATGCCTCAGGCTGAAAGACCGTTATTTCGGGCCAATCGGGAGGGCGAGCTTCGATGAGATAAAAGCGGACTCATTTTAGTGCAATCGGGGTTTGCTTATCAGTTTGAAACCGGTCCAGAACTCCAGAAGGGACTTTGTTATTATTATGGGTCCACTACTCGAGCGCCCCCCGGATTTCCCTCCGTCTCGAGTGTTGACTCTCTGGAAGCTTCTCGTCCACTCGCAAAACCCAAGCAGGGCAATCTCTCATTTGTGGCCAATCTGACCCCTCACACCAGAGGAAGAACTAAATAAATGACCAGCTAATCCCAAACGGTGCTACAGCCAGGCGACCTTGATCGAGCAACTCCGCCCGAACCAGGGAATTGATCGGTGCCACAGCTCCTCGCCTGGTGAAACTCAGCTAATAGCAGGCCGCCATGAGGGACAAGTCTGTCGGGGGTTTCAATCATAGCACCAAAAAAAGTCCCTGAAGCTGTCTGATTCACGCTCGAATTGCCGGAGCCTGTCTCGTGTTGCACCAGCTGCCAATGCTGCAGTAGCCTGCGCTTTGTTCTTTTGCTTTTTTGCCCCCGGTTGTTTTCTTCCTCTTTTGTTATTTCTTCTCCTCTTCCTCTTCTTCTTTTCTCTCCATCGTCTTTCGTTTGATCTCTCTGCCAGCTTCTTTCCTTTGACGAATCTTTTCATTAGAACCATCACGTCTGTCGTTTCTGACTTGTCAAAATGAAGTTCACTCTTGTTGCTCTGACCTCGCTGCTCGCTCTGGCTGCTGCCCAGGACTCGTCCTCGAGCACCAGCGACGCACCGGCGACCACCCACAGCCCAACTCCCCAGGAGACGTGCTTGCTTGCCTGTACGTGTCGTGGCCTCCGTTGCAACATGGCCATATACTGACTATCCCAGGTGACGAGAAGGACGCCTGCTGCAGAGCCAAGTGCATGAACGTGCCCTGCCCTAGCGACCAGCAGGCCAACGACACCAACTCTTGCGTTTCCAAGTGTGACCAGGGTGACGGCTCTGAGGCCGATGCCAAGGCCTATGCTGAATGCCAGGCCAAGTGCATTACCACCACTTTCTTCCCCGCGTCTGCGAGCGCAACCGACTCTGCTTCCAGCACCAGCAGTGGTGAATCGAGCGCCACCACAACCGGCAGCTCTGACGATGACAGCGACAGCGACTCCAACAACGATTCGGAAGGTATGTTTTCAAGGGCTGTTCCCCTGGCCAATCTGGACTGACTTGGTTTGTAGACTCCGACTCCGCCAGCGGCTCTGAATCCGGCTCTCCTAGCCCGACCGACTCTGGAGATGAACCCGATGAGTCCAACGCTGCTGCCAAGCTCGGCGCATCCGCTGCTGGCCTGGCTAGCTTCCTTATCGCTGCCTGGGCTCTGTAAGCAGCTCCTCCCAGCGCATTGGGTTACACGCATGATGTGAAAATGCAGTGTGACTAGGTACATGAGAGACGGTGGATGCGATTTGTTTACCGGCTACTTACATAGTCTTTACTTCTCTGTTACTGTAATAATCATCTGAGCTTCGATACCATAATACTTATTTGAACAAGTTGTCTGTCCGATTCTCGCAGTCTTCAATTGGGTTAAACCCTTATTCAAGTTCGCGTCGTAAATTCGCCAAGTTGGGTTTCAGGATACACATCCATGCCGATCAGCGGTGTCATCTCTGCGATCTCTCCATAACGTTCACCCCTTTGTCCCCCCACATGGGTGTCTCCAGCCTTGCACCCACAGTCCCACTCCAGTCCCTTTCTCATTTCGTATTAAGGTTCTCCCTTGCAATTTCCAGTCGAACGCCCTCCAATTCTCTTTGAACCGCCCAGGAACCTTATGATCGATAGTCGGCGTCCCAAGCAAAGCCAGAGCAGGGCAGACGAAGGCCAATTCCTTTTCGAACCCGATTTCATCACCTGTGCCGTCCATAAATAGTCAATTGAGCTCCTTACCTCAAGCTAGCGAAGCCTCTTCTCCGACAGTCCTACTGGTGCTACAGTTCGGCTTTTTCCGACACACGCGAGTTGGCGCCACTCTTCGCTGTACATTTACTCTATAGGGAGTATTCCATGTTTCCTGGTAAGAACTCGAAACGCCCAGCTTTCTCGTGTTATCCGGAAGCGCACCCTTTCTTGGAACAATGACATGACTTGCCTAAACAAAAACTCATATTCGCGCCTCCATCCAGACTGGATGGTCCCGGACTCGAGTTACCTGTCAAACTCTTAAACATCAACTCAACTCATGGTCACTTTATCTCCTTTCAACCCGCCATACATGCAAATTCCTGGATAATCTTATTATCGCAAAACTCATGCACTTTCATCCCACTTTCGCGTCCTCCATACTGACAGTATTAACCTGGGCAAATTCCACATGTGGCTCTGCCTGCGACGCCACTGCCTTCTCTGGGCCTCACACTCACCGTCGACAGCACTGGAAGCCTGAGGGAGAGCCCTACGGGGAGTGACCGTGCGCTGCCAAACAGTGACCCGGTAGAGTATGCGGCTGATGGCCCTCCACATCTCAGGATTGGTCTGGATTACAGTACCTTGCCAGGGTTCAGAAACAACACACGATGACCCAACGTCACGACCTAAGCATGCTTTACTAACATGTTTAGAATGTAATATTTAGGGGCGTAAAAAGACCAGCTGTCCTAATTATTTTGGTGTTTCAGATAGTATTATAAACTAAACACCAAAATATGAGGCAGAGACTAACTTCTTTGACACGCCGCCACTCCCTTTGATCAATGGCGCTCTCAGCGCATGCAGTTGACCGAGTAAGGATAGCAACCTGTTTTTATTGTCTACAAAAAAAGACCCAGTGTCCTGTAAATAACGGGAAGCTATACCCTGACGTTGCCAGCGGCTAAACACTACACACAAGACCTAACTCCTGGCCAGGCTACGGTAGCAAATCCGCAGCAAGTCGTTTTTCTTCATACAAAGTCTTTGGATTATTTAGTTCTGAAACAACTAGAACATGGAAGTCAGAGCTCATGCGCGGGATACCTACCAGAGAGTTGAGGGGAAGTAAAAGGCTATACCAGTATAGCCCACGTACGAGGCACGCTATACCCGATCTAGTAATTCATCGTCACCAGCGTAGACTACAGAGTCTGTACTTGTTCGCCTTATCCTACTCCGTACACAAGTCCCTACTTGACCTGTTACCTAGGCACTTAGGCATCCATCTCCAGGTTGCACACATCTACCTGCCTTAACCTCCCACGTAATCGAGCCCCTGCAATTGGATTCCGCATAAATAAAGATCTCACTCCCATCACACTCGCCCGCCCGCCCACAGCAAAAGAAACAGCAAAATGTCTCAACCCTCACAACCACACCAGCTCATAGCCTCAATCTCGGAATTTGTCACAGAATGCATGAAAGACTTCGATCCCAGCCACAACCCCCAACACATCCAACGCGTCGTGAACCTCGCCCTGCGAATCCTGAGGTCCGAAAAAGCAGAGACAAAGGCAGGGGCCCGAATCGATGAGCTCACTGTGCATCTAGCAGCCCTGCTGCACGATATCAGCGATAGAAAGTATCTTCCCAAAGAGGATCCAGCGGGGTCGGACAATACGGCAATCCCGCCGCATAAACTAGTGGAGCATATTCTGCGCACGCATGGAGCGGATCCAGCTCTCGCGGGCAGGGTGCAGACAATTGTCTCGCATGTCTCGTATACGACTGAGTGCAAGGACCCCGGGGCTGTTAAAAGGTTGATTGAGGAGGAGGGGTACGTTGAGCTGGCGATTGTGCAGGATGCAGATCGGCTGGATGCCCTTGGTGCGGTGGGTATTGGGCGGTGTTTTAGTTTCCTTGGGGCGAAGGGGAGGGATATGCTCAAGGAAGGGGAGTTGTGGGAGATGGAAAATTCGATCCGGCATTTTGGTGAGAAGTTGGAGAAGCTGGAGGGGATGATGAAGACGGGGACAGGGAGGAAAATGGCGAGGGTGAGGACGGAGAGATTGGCCGAGTTTCGGAGATGGTGGGAGGAAGAGATTGAGGAGGCTTCTGTTTAAGTATACGCTACAATTGTTATGATATAGTAAATAAATGTATATTGGAGCATTTCTTGTCTATTCTCACTGGGTATGTAACATGCGCACCAAAACAATCAGAAAACCGAAGGAATGCAAGGCTCGTCAGGCCAGTGTTGAATTTAACGCAAGTCACGCGCCGTATTAAAGGGTATGTGTCTGGTAGAACGGCAGATATGAGTGGTGTAAGTCAAATAAGCAATCCCCAACGCCAGCCCAATATAATATCTAATATTTGGATAAAGTTGGTATGAATATATTCCCGATATATGTCGTATACGATTCAACTCCTATCGAATATAGGCAAAGGATTAAACTCGATCAACGGCGAAATCCAGTACCTCACAATCGTCTTCGAAAAACCCGTCTTCGCCACCGGCGTGGAGCGGGGAGGATGAGTGCTTCTTCTTCCGCCGGGTAGTAATGACCACTTCTTCAACGTTGCCAGTGCTATTGCCCATGCTGATTAGATTCTCAATCCCCTCGCCCGATCCAGGCTGATGCTCATGCACAGCATTGTCGCCTTCGTCGTCGCTGCCGGTGCTGATTCGACGAACGTGTATCTTGGACACTGGCATACTGCCACCGAAAACCCATTGGCCATTGGGAACCGTATCCTTTGAGTCATCTGCTTCGCCCGTTTCAGAGTAAGTAAACAGGCTTACCCTCTGATCTGTATGGAAGGGCTGGTAGGGCGCATTGGTTTCTAGTTCTGCCTGGGAAAGTGGCTGGCACTTAAGCTTCGATGACGCAGACGGTCGCACGGTGGACAATGGCAGGGGTACAGACGCATGGACAACTAGTTCCGGATTGAAGTTGCTGATTGCCATAGGTCCACAAGGACTTGACAAGTTCGCAGGAAGCCGGAACTCAATTTCTTTACTTCCAACAACCGACTGTGGTTGTTTTGGTTTGTTAGAAGAAACCGAGCGTTTGATTCTGTGCAGTCGGAAGTAGCCATTTGATATCAGCGCTAAGAACGGTTGGCCCTTGTGGATAATCCAGGTGACACGGGATGCAGCAGGTTCGCGAGAAAAACCAGAAATGTGCAGTCGGTTTTCTCCCACATGTCGAAGAGTATTGACTGTTCCACTCGCGGCAGCTCCCATTGATTTGCTAAGGCCAGCAGCCGCTTTGCCACCCATCCCAGCAGCAGCAGGGATAGTAAATCCATTCATGGCGGGGAATGCAGCACCAGCAGATGGCGCACGGCCCCTGACAGCCTCGAATATGGGTTGGGTCTTACCCCCAACAAGTTTCATGGCCGTCGATAGCGCGTTCGTGTTTGTCGGACGCACAGCTAGGTCATCAGGAGGAGCATCATTTGTCGGCGGCTTTCCACGTGGAGGTCGAGCTCTGCGGAATGGAGGCCATTGAAAGGCACTTCTCGGGAGGTCAAAGACATGTACTGTTCCTTTGAGAGTAATCACAGCTAGGCGGTCTCCAGAAGGTGGGCACCAGATTACGTCCACGATATGCGACTCTGTCAATCGGGAGTACCGTGCGACTTGGCGCACACTTGCAGCTACTGCCGCTGAGTCCTCGGACAAGAAGAGTCCAGCGCGGCAATACTTTGCTTGCATTAGATCCCATATATATTGCACGTCTCCTTTTTTACTAGCTGTGAGGAGCATGAGACCACTAGGGGAGAATGACAGAAAACTGCAACCATTCGGCACTTGGAATGTGGCAGCAGGGCTGAACAGAATTGCATTCTTCGTGTCTCCCCCTTCGTCGAGCCTTCTGAGGTCTAGTATTGACACTAGATCTGGCTCGGCCGGCGAAGTAGTCTGAGTCTCTTGAGCATGTGTTGGTGGGAAAATGTTGTATCCCTGTTGCGGGAAGTCCGTAACTTGGGAGCGGCGCTGTTGGGAAGTTTGCTGCTGGTCTTTGTTCCAATAATTATTCCAGGCTTGCAAGCCCTGGTCGCTCATCCAGCGAGCTCCTCGCACAAACTCCTGTGTGACACCCCTAGCCATTTTGTCGAGAAAACTCTCACCCTCACCTACATCGGTGACGCAGGTAGTCGCCGGACGCGATGGAGGACTGCGAGTCTCAAGCCCAAAGACCTTCCCTTGTATCAAAGGTGCTGGTACTATTCCACCGAGGGATGCTCGATACGTAGATGATGGCGGTACAATTGCCAGCCATCTCCCCTTCAGTGCAAGAATTGGATTATCAAATTTGCCGATTGCATGAGGAGAGTCATTTCGAGACGCATCTGGGTCCGTTGAGCTCGATGAGGTGGAGTACCGCCTCGTTTCCCTCGACTGGACACTGGTCCAGGTTTTCCCTAGGCACTGGTACCTGCTCATACTATATATATAGACCTCTCCGCTCATACCAGACGCTAGGACAAGATAGCTACCGCTTGTGAGAAGCTTTAGATTTCCCGCAGGTGCCGGCGCAAAATTAGGGAGTCCAGGGATGTTCTCGAAGCATGGACTGGGTTTTGTGGTGAAAAGTGTTGCGATGTAATCACCCGTCCGAAGTGAGTATATCTCGACTCTTGTTTGGTAGAACCGGGTGTCGTCACGATTCAGGCGTTTATCAGCACTAGAGTAACGCCCCATGGGAACTGAAACGTCATTTGATTCAGAGCCAGCAGATGAAGCACGACCCTCATCGTCGGATGGAATACAAGGGCCATGAACGATAACTGCCACATGCGGCCGGGATGCTGAAGTTGAGTCATCGCCTGTCAGAATCTTTGCATCGACTACCCTGCCATTGATCCCATCCAAACGTCCAATCGGACGGGTCTTGCGGTCTTCGACAGCCAATACCTCCAAAGTACCATCGCTGCCGACAAGAAGAACACTGCCCGCCATACGTGACAATTTGAATGAAGGGCTGGAGATCGTATCGAACGCGCAGAATGAATACTGCGCCTCCATTGGGGACCGACTTTGACCGGAGGGTGATGGAATATCAATCTCAGGAGCTCGATAGAAGTGGGCCTGCGGTAAATGTGGTGGAGGTATCCGGTCACTAAAGGGAGTATTGACAGACTGGCTTTTGTGTCTATCCACCGACTGCTGACGCGAAAAGCCGCCGCTGGAGTAACCATTCCCGTAGCTGAGAGGCCTTGTCCTGGGTGGGGGAGAGGCGGAAGATGGATGGCTGAAACCACCCTTGTCCTGACTTGTTAGGAAACCACCAAAAGGGGACCCGCTGGCAAGGTCCTCCTCAAGACCTTCATTTGGCGGGCTCTTTCCGAACGGGATTGATCTAGCCCAACTATTCGTGCGGTACGCCAAGTCTTGCTCGGGGGTGTCCCTGAGCGTGTCCAGAGCATCGAGGACCGGCGACACAATCTTGGTATCAACTTGGGGCCCTGTAGGCGGATCAGGGTAGGAAGACGGCTCAACTTGTGAGGGCGGAGACCCGTCCAATCTAGGGGTAAGTTAGCAGCAGTCCTCTGGATCCAGCTCCAGGATGTAGAGCTGATGGGAGAACTTACAAATCTTCCACGGGTGCCTTTGGAGTCACTTTGGCAGCCTTGTTCTTCGCCTTGGAGCCGCTTTTTCCCTTTTTCTTGCTTTTCCCTCCGGTATCATTATCGGGCTTTGGGGGACTGGTAGCTTCCACAGGGTCTATGTCGCCCGGTAACCGGCTCTGCTGGCGAAACAAATCGTCCGAAGCTGCCGGGGGCATTCAAATGGATGAACTGCCTCGATGAGGCAGGGCGGTATCAGCAAGAACAGCCGCCCTCAATACCCCTGTAAGAGGGCCGAGAACGGGCGTTGATAAAACGAGCAGATTATTAGGAACTATGTGCTGCGACGGTCCCCTAATCGATGTGTACCTGTATATAGCGGAGCTGTCAGCATGAGTCATCACAGAACAGCAGGCGATGACGAGTATTAAGATATGCTAACCCTTCAAATGTAGTATAGAATAGGTCTCGGTTGTATAGTGACAGAAAGCGAGGTGATATTTATCAGTTGGAGGGGACAAGTCGAGATAGCAAGGTATCTCGACGGGGGAGCTCGGTGATACGCGTCGATCCGGGGAACGGGGACAAGGCGGAAGCTCAGCTTTAACCGGTGTGTCCACGCTTCACAAAACTAGCGGGAGAAAGTAATCGGGAGGTATATCCAAGATTCGCAAGCTGGTCAAATAGGCGAGATAGAGTAGCAAGTCGGGTTGTTGAAGGAAGGTGGGAAGTAGATAGCGATAGAGGGGCGATGATGGGGTCGGAGAGGGGGAGGGGAACCGGATCAGGTCAGGAGCATACAGGAGGTATTGGAAATGACATCGATGGTTTTGGTAGGCTGACTCAAAGTTGGGTTCGTAATTTTCCCACGACTCCCATCTTCAGGCAAAGACCTCATGTTAGTAACCCTTGGAGCCACTGCGCCTCCGTCTTTGTAGGCTCGGAACTCGCGCCAGCACCTGTTGTTGGGGGTTCCCAGAGGGGTTCCCATGACAGGGAGTAGCACGGCGATTGGCTGCGGGAGACGATATAATACAGGAACCTGACGGGTTGTAACATGACGCCAGCGCGAACAATGACAATACCTTTGTAATGGCGGCAGTTCGCCTTTGAGAGACGCTCGAGAAGATGTAAGGGACGCGGAGGCTTACTACTGCCAGCAGATCTAGGAAAAGAACACCCCGGTCTTTTGGGATTTGGACTGATGGCGCAGCTGCAGATGTGACTCCGTTTAGTATGTATGGAATACAGCCTGTTACACATGAGGGGTAAGAGTCTCTCAACCCTGAACTGGACGCATTCCCTAACGGCATCATCCGAATGCCATGGTTCCTGCCCATCCTCTCCTTGGTTCCACTTCAAATGTTCAGTTCGTCTGAAAGGCGACCGTTTCCAACCGTCCAGCAGCTGACAACAGTCTTACAAGCATCCCCGTGACCCAGGGTCACGAGGCATGATGCCATCAGCTTTCCAGGTCAGTGCCAGGGTCAACTGCAATGATGACGCTTATGATCGGGTCAAATCCTTATTCTGATCCTTTCTGGTCCGGGTTGGACTTGTTTGGGGACCCCTTGGTGCGTATCTGGAAGTTTAACGTTGTGTATCATAAGCTCTCCTTTCCCCCTTGGAGTAACTATACCCCAAACGGAAGATAAATTAAGGTAAAGATATCAAGAACAGCTTCCATCCGCTCAAGTATCACAGATCATTGCTCCGGCAAAGCGCGATTATAAGGTAATAAAGAACTATTGTTACAGGCTATCAAGTATAAACCCAGCACCCCCTGGGGCCTTGAAATATCATCCTATACACACCCTTCCACCATTCAGGATATCCATCTCTTCAAGTCTTCTTCTTCGCGGCAGCAGCCTTGGCCTTGGCCGCCTTCTTCTTGTTGCTATTGATCATCACGATTCCAATGAACGTACCAACCACGGCCGAACCCAGGAGCGTCAAAAACACGGGGATGCGGATTGCCCATACGCGAGGAAGGAAGAAGGCATGGAGGGGGTGGCCAGGGTCGACGAATGGCTAGCAAAGTTAATCAATTGTCCAGAAATGGGATAACGTTTTTTTGGGGGAAGGGGGAGAGATACCATAAGAAGTGTCCACGCCGTGTAGTAGAGGAAGATCGCAGTAGCGGCCAAAAGCATGGCGGATCCCACAAGTTGGCCCAGCTAGAATATTTTCAGTCAGCAAACTGAATTCCTCCTTGGTTAACAATCAAAGGAAAATTAAAACTTTACCATAGTGACAGAGAACCTAGTATCACCAAACACGGGCAAAGACGGTGTCTGAAGCGGTTTTGTTGTATACGCGACCAGGAGACTCGGCCAGCCTGGCTCCTGGGCAGTCACGTGAAGAAATCGCGCTAAGACTCTTCTTTCGCCGCCTCACGTTCCGTTCGCAAGACCTTCATCCCAGCTCGACCAGCTCGAGATTCTGGCTCAAAACACGGAATACCTACATCTAGTTGAAGACGCCACAGAGATGTCGGATCCCGTCGTTTTGCAGTCCGCCGTGCGGGTGCCTACGCCTCCGCCAGGCGCTTCCTATTCTCCCCAGCCATCCGGCTCACGAAAGCGATCGCCTCCCTCTCGTTCACCTTCGCCTAATCGACGTCGTTCGCCCCCTGGTGACACTGTGGGACCTGATGGAGATGTGCCGCATATCGATTCCGACCGTGCGATCGAGCGAGAGCGTCAGCTAGCGGAGCGAGTACGCGAACATGAAAAACAAGAAGCCGCGCGAAAGCCTATGACTGAGGAGGAAAAACAGGCCTCAGCTAAGGCGGAATATGAGAAGCTCCTCAACATGCGCTCGGGTGGCACCTATATTCCTCCCGCGCGACTTCGCGCTCTCCAAGCACAGATTACAGACAAAACCAGCAAAGAGTACCAACGAATGGCCTGGGAGGCTTTGAAGAAGTCGATCAACGGTTTAATCAACAAAGTCAACGTCTCAAACATCAAATACATTGTTCCAGAGCTTTTCGGCGAGAATCTTGTCCGTGGCCGTGGTTTGTTCTGCAGGAGCATTATGAAGGCCCAGGCGGCAAGTTTGCCTTTTACGCCGATCTATGCTGCCATGGCGGCGATTGTCAATACAAAGTTACCTCAGGTTGGAGAACTTCTCTTGAGCCGGCTGATCATCCAATTCCGAAAAGCTTTCAAGAGAAACGACAAGGCGGTGTGCATATCGTCGACAACGTTCATTGCGCATCTATGTAACCAACAGGTCGTACATGAAATGCTTGCGGCGCAAATATTGCTCCTTTTACTTCACAAGCCCACCGATGATAGCGTCGAAATTGCCGTCGGGCTAACGCGGGAAGTTGGCCAGCACCTGGAGGAAATGAGCGGGCCCATCGCGTTGGCAGTGTTCGACCAGTTCCGGAATATTCTCCACGAAGCCGACATTGACAAGCGTGTGCAGTATATGATTGAAGTTCTTTTCCAGGTACGCAAGGATCGATACAAGGACAACCCAGCTGTCAAGGAGGAGCTTGATTTGGTGGAAGAGGAGGATCAGATAACCCACCGAATTGGGCTGGATGACGAGATTGAGACTCAAGACACCTTGAACATATTCAAATACGACGCCCAGTGGGAGGATCATGAGGACGCCTACAAAAGATTGAAAGCAGAGATTCTCGGGGAAGGGAGTGATGACGAAGACGAGAGCGATGACGGTGACGAAAGCTCAGAGGAGGAATCCGAAGAAGAGCGACAGATGGACATCAAGGATCAAAGCAATACGGATCTTGTGAACTTGCGCCGAACGATTTACCTGACAATTATGTCCAGTATCGACTTTGAAGAGTGTTGCCACAAGTTGATGAAGATTTCGTTGCCAGCCGGCCTGGAACCGGAGCTTCCCTCAATGGTCATCGAATGTTGCTCCCAAGAGCGGACATACTCGAAATTCTATGGTCTTATTGGTGAGAGGTTCGCAAAGATTAACCGTCTCTGGTCGGACCTCTTTGAGAACGCATTCGCCAAGTACTACGACACTATTCATAGATACGAGACCAACCGGCTGCGCAATATTGCTCGATTCTTTGGACACATGCTGAGTACCGACGCCCTCGGATGGCATGTATTGTCCATCATTCATTTGAACGAAGAAGAGACGACATCGAGCAGCCGTATCTTCATCAAAATTCTATTCCAAGACCTCGCGGAGAATCTTGGTATACCAAAACTACGAGAGCGCATGACCGATGAGATTCTACGTCCAAGCTTCGATGGCCTGTTCCCCACGGACAACCCACGCAACACGCGCTTCTCAATCAACTATTTCACCAGCATCGGTTTCGGTGCATTGACAGAGGAGATGCGCGAGTTCCTGCAGAACATGCCCAAACCTGCAGTTCCTGCCTTGCCACCCGCTCGCTCGGAGTCTGTCAGCTCACGATCATCGTATTCATCACGTTCTCGTTCTCGCTCTTACTCATACTCCCGCTCTCCGTCCTATTCCCGGTCTCCGTCTCGAAGCCGTGGCCGGCAACGTTCAGTCAGCCGAGGCAGGTCCTACTCGCGGTCCTTATCCGGTTCGCGTCGCAGCTACACCCCTAGCTCCTATACCGGCTCGCGCTCTAGATCACCTATTTCGCGAAGCCTCCGACGTTCAGTCTCATACAGTCGGTCCCCTTCTCGCAGTCCACCCCCTCGCTCTGGTCGTGGACGTGTCGACTCTAGATCTCCACCTCCACGCCGGAAGCGCAGTCCGTCTCGCTCCGTCACACCGCCGCGTCGAAGCGGTGGAAGGGCTCGTAGCTACTCGAGATCTCCCTCGCGCTCTCCCTCGCGCTCTGTTTCTCCACCGCCGCGTCGAGCGCCTGCGCGCAGACGGTACTCTTCAGAGTCGCTGTCACCACCGCCAAAGCGAGCCGAGAAGAACGAAGCAAGGCCCCGCTCGCCTCCACGACGTCAGCCCCCTCGAGGCCGGGATTACTCCATGTCTCGATCGCCTAGCCCGCGGTACGGCAAAAGCCAGCGACGACGAAACTCCAGCTCACTATCAGCGTCGCCTCCTCCCCGTCGACGAGCACGGTTTTCCACGCCCCCTCGTCGGTAATTTACTTGGAACCTTGATATTAAACAGTGCATGCAAGGAGTCGGTAATAAAAGGCCGCCATGTTCTCCTAACGATGTATTTTAACATAAATATGCACACTATCAATAACACCACCCCCAAGTGCAACACCATTCTATGGTCTATTTTAGTTTTAATAATAACGTCTTGACAAGTAACCTAGCTATCAACCTCCCCAGCCTCCCAAACACACCTACTACACAAACACGCCCCTCCCAGTGCACCAGCCGCCCATTCCCTCCTTTCTTTAACATCCAGGCCAATATCACAATAATGATTCAGTATTTCCTCATCCTTCCTCACCCCTTCACCCCTCCTTTCGCCCTCAACCCTCTCCTCGCCCCCTTTCCTCTTCCACACAGCCCGCTCCTTCTCCCCCCTAACCACAAAAGCAATCTCCCCTCCCCACTCCCACCTCACGTTGGGATCACACGAGTGATTCGCCAAACACCAAAGCGGATGCACAGCACAGGTCTCCGGCCCGCCATCCCAAGTCGAGAGCCTACCAGAGGCCGTGCCGCGGAACTTTGCGTACATCGTGTTAAGAACCCACGTGTCGTACCTATCCAGCGTCGTATATGGGTCGAGTTGCATTTCCTCAATCAGCCGCATCGGCTGCAGGATTGAAAGCTGGAAGCTGAAAGGGAGGGTTCCTTTCATCTTGCTGCTGCTGCTGCTATCTTCATTATCGTCTTCCGGGACGAAGTCGCCCCAGATATATTTAATTTCAGGTAAATCAAGAGGATGGATTTCTTGCGTTGCAGCCATTGCAAGCGCGCGGCCAAGAAGTAGCAGGTATAAGTAGTCGGCTTTATCCTTTGGATCTGGGATATCCTTCCCAATGGACTCGAGGTTCTCCATTAGACCACAGACAGCACCGTGGTAGACTTCCTGCGCCTTATCGTGGCAGGCCTGCGAGCAGAAGATTATATCGTAGCATTCATCGCAGGCGACTGGGGGGTTTTCGGAAGAGAGAGGGGGGAGGACCCCGTTGCAAGCGTCGCAGGTGTCGTCGTGCAGGCGGTTCGTGGCTGTGAGAAGAGAGGACTCATGCAGGATCGTTTCGCCCGGTTGTAGGTCTTCTTTGGCGAAGAGACCGAGTTGGATAGAGAGTTCTTCTTCTCCTTCCTCCTCCTGTTTTTCGCCCTCTACCTTCTCAGTACTGTCTGATGACTGGTGGAGGACTGGTAGTGCAACGGCGCGCACTTCACACTTTGGAGCGACATCCTTGAGACGTTCATTTAATAAATTCAAAGTCTCGGGGGACTTGCGGTCCGGTTCGTGCTCATTCCAAGGGTAAAGGATTCTGCGCGCAAAGCCTTGTGCCTTCAACGAATTTGGGTTAATCTCCTCTTCGCTGTTTTGAGAGTCCTTGCCTTTTGACGCATAGTACTCCCGCTTTATGTACGCAATCTGGTCTTCGAGGTCCTTCTTCGCTGTAGAGGACCCCTCATCAGACAGTGAACGTTGTTCGAGCACTGCGCGGCCGCGTAGGGCGAATTCGTACGCATCGCGTAGACAGCCACAGCGGGCTAGACTCCTCACGAGCAGGGCATATGCGGGCCCAATCATGGCATTGTACTCATCTTCTGTGAGGGGTTCATATCCCTCATCATCATCATCATCATCTTCTTCTTCCTCTTCTTCTTCTTTTTCTTCTTCCTCATCGTTTTCATCCTTGCGTGTTGGTGCCGAAGACTCTGCTACCCGCCGCCTAGCATGAAACTCACATCCATCCGGATCAACAATAGAGTCTAGTAACGAAAGCGCCCGATATGCATCCGCAGAGGCGAGATCCGGGAACCCCAGACGCTCATGGACCAAGCCCCGATCCAGGTGACGGTGGGGATTGTGCGGGTCTGCATAGAGCTGGGAGGTGGCAGACGCGCGAGATTGCAGTATTTCCTGCATTTTGAAATTTATACCTTGGTGGTGATCCTCAAGGTACCTAGAGGGTTTCAATCCGGCCTCTGGTGTTGGTTGTAGGGAACTCTGGTGGATATGCACTCCGCCCCGCGATCTATAAATTTTTCAACCGCCGTGGCGAGCAAGATTCAGACCCCGCAATAGGAGAATATGTCTTCAAAACACAACCTTAGATAGTACAGTGTTTTGAGAATTGAAGGGCAACTAGAATAAACCTGAGGCCCGAGGTCTTTGTCAGTTATAAAGATGTAGAGCAGAGAAGGTGGAAGTATCTTCATCCCCACTCGCTCTGGTCCAATGAAAAATCAAGAGCGTTGTTTGTGCATATTGTGCAGTTTTGCTTATTCACTATTATGCATATATGTCTGCACATTTTCTGTCTATCCAACTCACCAGCAATCACTACTTTCACATATAAAAGATGAATAAAATATTGTTAATGGGAGCAAATAAAAATCTAGACGCCGCTATTATCCGGTTGTTTGGGGGAGCAGCCTTTTAGCCCTACTATATGTACCGTCGATAACCCCGGCTACGAGCGGGCGACTACAATATCTGCTGTACTACCGCAGCAGTTTTTTGCTATGGCTCGCCTATAAACAAAATGATTATCGGACGCCGGATGTTTGGGTTTGACATAGGTTGAGAATATACTTCGGATAGTAGCGGTATTGACGGACCGGAGCGGTTAGGACTACTGTGGAACAGTCGGAAAGGGATACTTATTACGAATATTTAAAGATAATTAATATTTGCTTTCCTCTCACTGGTGTATTCCAGGCCTATCATTTTAAGTACTCAGAATGGTTGGACCTTGAACACTGCTTGCTAGAGTCTGCAACTACATTGAACAAATGTAGACGTAGACTACTTCATGTGGAATCAATCGTCTGTTGCCAGTCATCAAAATATACGCTTGCTGCACTCTAACCTTATTCCAATACCAAGGCATAAGCACACGAATAGCAAAGCTAGTCCAGATAGCCCTTGCCACTAGCCCCGTCTTGCTGCACGGATACTCCAGGAGCTGGACGGAAGTCTGGGGTAATGCGGGGATATGGAGTAGGTCGACGCCAGATGCCAAGAGTGATATACAGTGGTATAAAGGGTGTCTCTGGACACGCTGCACTGCGAGTAGATATCCTGACTCGTCTCTGCTCTTCCAGATACATGAACAACCAGGATGACGTCGAATCCAGCAAATCTACAGCTCCAAGATGATCACAGCCATGACAAGCCCTGGGCCAACCACCAGGAATCAGTCTGTGGCGCTGACCTCGAGGATCCTAAAAACGAGAAGAAACCACCCCAGCCTGAAACAGCCGACTGGACAGGCTCTCAGAAGAAGTCAGACCCGGCCGAGATCCGGCTCGTGCGGAAGATCGACTTCGTCATGATGCCGGTCCTCTGGATCATGTACTGGTTCAACTACCTCGATCGAAACGCAATCACTGTTGCCCGGCTGGACAATCTTGAGGCCGAGCTGGGCCTATCTTCGACGCAGTATCAAACATGCGTGTCGATTTTGTTTGTTGGGTACATCCTCGGGCAGGTCCCTAGCAGTATGCCTTGTCCCCAATCTTATACATGTACACCCACCTATATATAGAGACATACATACTAAGTATTCATTTGGGAGAAAAGACATGCTCCTCACCCGCCTCCGGCCCTCCCTTTTCATGTCCGGTGCAATGTGCCTCTGGGCCGTTGTAAGCACTCTAACCGGCATAACGCACGACTTCAAAGGCCTCCTCCTCACGCGCTTCTTCCTGGGCATAACCGAAGCCCCCTTCTACCCAGGCGCCCTCTACATGCTCTCAATCTTCTACACGAAGAAAGAAATCGCCACGCGCATCTCCATCCTCTTCACAGGCAATATCTGCGGCACCGCGTTCGCCGGCCTCATCGCCATCGGCGTCTTCCGCATGTCCGGCATCGCAGGCCTCTCAGGCTGGCGCTGGCTGTTCATCCTGCAGGGAATAATCACATTCGTGATTTCCGTGATCGGCGGGTTCATATTACCCGACGAGCCGCTGACTACGCGGTGGCTAACGCGTGCAGAGCGGGAACTTGCACATGCGCGCATGCAGAGGGATACGGTGGAGTTGAGAGAGAATACGCCCGTCTGGGCGGGCTTGAGGGAGGCAGCGTCGGATCCCAGGCTGTGGGTTCTGACGGCGATGCAGCATTTCCATATGGCGGCGAGCAATTATAAGAATTTTTTCCCGACGATTGTTGAGACGTTGGGCTTTGACCAGAATGTTACCCTCGCCTTGACTTGTCCGCCTTATATCATTGCTGGGATTATTTCGATTGCTTGGTCGATTAGCTCTGGTTTGTTCTTCATTCATATATATATATATACTATATATACGATGCTGACGGATAAAAGGCCGCATGAACGAACGCACATGGCACATCACGCTTGCAAAAGTCATTGCGGTGATGGGCTTCGTGCTCGCGACATCAACACTCAACGTCGGGGCGCGGTATTTCGCCATGTGCGCTTTCGCAACGGGCGTCTACTGCTGCAACTCGATCATCCTGGGCTGGGTCGCGAGCACCTGCGGGCAAACGAAGGAGAAAAAGGCATCGTCGATTGCAATTGTCAACACGGTAGCGGCGATATCGATGATATATACTGCGGTGAGAGCGGCCCCCAGCAGCAGTTACTTACCATGCTGAGAATATATATACGTAGTATCTCTGGCCAGACTCGGATGCCCCCCGGTATCCGATTGCAATGTCAACGAGTGCTGCGTTTTCGATAATCGCAGCGATCCTGGCGTGGGTGTTGAGGGCGATGCTTGTGCGGGAGAATCGGAAGATACGGCGGTCGGATGACGAGCATACGCTGTTTTATGCGTATTAGGCGGGGCCGCTAGCTGGCCGTTGGAATTGCTCATTGTGGACAGGTAGTGGAGAGTGGATATCCCTTAGCGATAGAATCAAAGAGAAGTCTACGTCAGAAGAATGCTGCCCCTGCACGGGAGAATGAGCGTGCATCCCGTCATTGGCCGAGAGCTTCGTGGAAGAAAGATCCCCAAAGCCACTGACGTCGTGGCTGAAGATCACTCCGCGAGCCTACGTCAATGGAGTAAATAAATCTACAGCTCCCTGCACAACATGGACATTGACATTGACAACTTCCTGCATTCTTTCCGTGGGTAAAAAACTAATGGTAGGTACCGAAAAATGTAAAGGAAGAGAGCGAGAGCGAGAGAGCATATCGCCTCCCTGCCTGCTCTCCAAGGACAGGACCATTGCGATTTCTACTGCCCCCCTGGAGTTTAGTTTGAGTTGGGCTGTCATTCACATCACCTACGCAGATCGGTCAATTCAGTCCTGCTTGCTTGCTGACTTCCAAGACGGGCGAGGGGCATAACGGGGTTGACTTACACTGCAGTTTTCATCTAGCACGATCCGGGAGTGCTCTCCCGGAACTAGACCACCCTGTTGCTGTCGCACTGTAGCTGCAAACTGAGCTAGCATGTGCCTCTGTTAATAATTAGCAGATGTCTAACTTCATCGAGACAGCGGTGTAAAAAGAAAAAAAAAAAAAGAGAGAAGAGAACAGAGCTTACAGTCACAAAGGCATCACTCATACCCCCTTGCCGCTGGACGTCGTTCTCGCTCATGATCCGGTAGCTGTCGTGCATGCACTTGGCGCTTTGCAACCCCCCATTTCCTGATCCAAGCGTGTTTGCCGCGTTATTCGGGTCTAGGATATTGACACCCCGGCGGGCATCCTCTTGGGCACGCTGGTCCGGCGAAAAGATTTTGATCGTGTCGTCGATACCGGATGCCGCAATGGTCGGCTCATAGGGGTGTCCTGCAGGTCGCAAACCCATTAGATACACGCTCAAAACGCAATCAGAAGCTACCTAACCTACCTTGCACAACATTAACCACCTCATCATCACCCTTGAGGATATTGACTAGCTTGCAGGTGTCCCTCTCCCAGATGAACAGATGGCCCGAGTCGCTCCCGCTCACCACATACTCGTCGTCTAGCCCAAAGAAATTTGCATCCTTGACCGTTTTGACATTGCAATGTCCGCGATAGACCCTCGTATGCGATGAGCATGGGACGTCAGTCTCCACGTCCTCCCTTTTGTTCCGTTCAAAACCATAACTTTGAAACAAGCGCTCCGCAGCATCCGATTCCGAATCGTCGTCATAAAGGCCGACAACCTCGTCGTCACTTTCATCATCATCATCATCATCATCATCATCCTCGTCCTCGTCCTCTTCCTCTTCCTCTTCCGAGTCGTCATCTAAGTTGCCGTCGAACATACCATCGTTCTCGTTATCCCTCGTCGAGTCAATACTTTCAGGTGTATGCAATCCTATGTCCTCTCCCGCTGCGAACGTGTGATGACGTTGGCGGCTGGAGCCCCGGTTGATGGCGAGGCTGATATCTTGGATAGCTTCCTCTTCAGTGTTTGCCTCGCTATCATCCTGCGACCTTTCTACTTCCATCTCGTCGTCCGAGTCGTCCTCAACGGTCGTGTTGAGGCCTCCGAATGCGCGGTTGACAAGTTCAAAGTTTACACCTGTCCCCGCATCCATCAATACGCCGCGGCCCACCTCCAAGAGCCAGAAGTGTGCTAAGGTCCCCGGATCGGTGGATCTGGGGCTAGGCCGATCGCCATTCTCAACCCTAGTCGACGCCGAGCTTTTAAGCGCATTCCCAAAGGCAGTCAACGCTGCATGTTGCGAGAGGAAGAGTATCCGAGTCGAGTCATGCTCGAATCTGGAACTATCAACATTCACCACAGGAGTATCGTCTGCGAGCAGGCGCAGATATGGAATCAACACCGCTTCAAGAGCGCCTTCGCCAGCATACTCTGGTATGGGGAACCTGTCCCGGTTGCGACCATGGGTAGGGCTGCGCTTGAAGCCAGCCAGAACAGCGCTCCGACCGCCCTCGACGAACAGAATCAAGGCTTTTAGAAAGTCATATCCAAACTGTTCTCTTCGGTTGATGACGTTGCCTTCCCCTGGCGCGGGCCCTATTTGCTGAAACTTTTCCAGAACATCATCATCGACCCCATAGTCTTGCACGTCCCCATCCAAAGCCCGCGCAAGCGTGCCAGCGGCCTGCACGAATCTATATGACGATTCTCGGTTACGGCGCAGAGTCTGCTGAATGCGCACAATTTCTGGAGTCGGATTGATCGGGTACCTCCACGTTCTCATGACCTCTTCCATCTCAGGCAAGAAGGTCAGCGCACACATCAGGGCTGATGAAAACGAGTCATGAAAGGCCACGAAGGAAAATGGAGTTGCCATCCCCGCCTCTTCGCGAGCAGATGCTTCAAGCGAGAATAAAGCTTTCCGGAGCTTGACAAGGCCCTTGGCTATGCGCAAGCTTCCCCTTTGTGCTTCATTAAGCACGGCATATCTCGCCTGTTCCATCGCTTCTGCTGTATCCATGCCTGACGCAGTGGAACCTTCGTGTAACAATGAAGGGAAGGGGATGTTTTCCGTTTCGCCGTTGCCATACCGAACTCGGAATGCGAGTTCCCCGTCGTCGTGGGCTTCTTCGCCTTGTCGGGATTTTCGTCTACCGCCGCTGGATTGGGAAGACTGGGAAGTCCGATTTTGGCGCTTACGCTTCCTGTCCTTGAAGCTCCGCTTCTTACGTGAGCTGCCTTTGTCTTGAACAGGCGATGCCTGTTCCTGTGCGTCTAGTGCATCTGGACTCCGGACCAGGTCGAAGCTGTATATGTGGTCGCCCGACCAGCTCACAATCATTTCATTGGGGTTGGCGTTACTGATTTTACAAGCTGTGATGTGGCCCTTATACCGAGACTTGGTGCGTTTCTTGCCGTTCGGCGCAAATCTTCGGACACACCGCGTTGCCTGGCCCATCAGCTCCTCATCGTGGGTGCTTCCTATGCCAGGGGAAGTACCAGGATCACCCCGTTCACTAGGAAGGTCCCGCCCCAACATACGTCTGTCGTGAAGGAAGCAGTGCAAGTGTGCGCCGCCGAGTGCAATATAATGCGGCTGACTTGGGGAGCATGATATGGTATTCAGATCAAGCCTGTGCCGTTTGTACGAGATTAGTGGAGGAGGGACATTCGAGTCATCGTGTCCTTCACGCTGTGCCATGTACAGCAGACCACCTCGGGGTTTTGGGTACGCTGATGAAGGTTGGCGCAAGTCCCACTGGCGAACTTCACCGTCCTCGGAGCACGTCAGGAAGAGATGCGGTGATGATTCGGTCACTATGCGCTTGGCGCGATCTGCATGGCTTCGATACACTCGCGCGTTGGTATTGCCTGCACCGAGGTATCGCGTATTGCGGAAAAATTGATTTATACGTGGGTTCCCCGATTGACTCGAAAGGTCCTGCGAACCGTTTCGGCTGGAATGTTCAATGTCAAAAACTCGTACCTGAGAGTCCCCAGAAGCAGTCACGAGGGTTCGGTCATTTGACTGCGGCATAAAAGCGACGGAAAAAATATTCCCTGTGTGTCCAGTGAAAACACTGGTATTCAAGGCAAACGGTGCTGTTGAAGATTCTGGCTGGTATGAGTATATGTTTAAATGGAGGTCATCCGAGCCCGATGCGAGCAGTCGACCAGAACGCGACCAACTGTGAAGAATCAGTTCCCCGAACAATGGGAAGGAAGTGAGAGGCGCTGGCTACGAGAAAGGTGCGGGGTGAAGCGAGATCACACACATACCTGAGAGCGTTGACACAACCGGTATGACCCCCCAACTCGTTAACAATGTCGAGATCGCTGACCCATTCCTTCGAACCGTAGATTCCACGAATATTGGCCGATGACGAGCCTCCTCCGGCTTCCCGACGCCATATACGGTCGTACAAAGACTTTGCCATTTTCGGATCGACGCAGTCGAGGACAGATTGTTTTCTAGGTTGTTTGAGGTTCGAGCATTGCGAGCAGCACAGCGCAGCGTGAGCTAAGCGATCGGCCAGTGTGACGCTAAGCGATGTTCTGGAAGACGAGCCGGGGCTACGGAGACATCTAAAGGCGAAGAATCTCGGGCGGATAAAAATGCAGCCAGGAGAAGGCGCGCGCCGGGGACACAGAGATATGCGAGTTGTGTGGCCGTTTGTTCCTCACTGAACAGAGAGATGAGGTGGTAGCGGGGAAGCGAATAATGAGATCAGGGGGAGGTCAGAGATGGCTTCCTGGCTGAAGAGCCCGGGTTGAAATCTGGAACCTTTTGGTTGCTTGGCCGGGAGGCGTTCTAGGAAGGGGAAGTAACACTGCAATAAAAGCAGAGGAAAATGCACGAGGAAAGCGACTGGAAAGAAATGTTTGGAAGATCCACCGGCCCAGATGCTTGTGCTTGATTGATCCTACGGAGGAGGGAAGTGAATGAATTACGCCCAAAGGGACTTTTCGCAGGCGAAAAGGCTAATGCGACCACAGTGAGGCTCGATAGTCCACCGCAGTTGGATCAGTCGATACGCTGTGTCGCGAGCGGCAGAAAGGAGGCCCCCGACCAGACTATCAGCATCATTATTTCCCGGGCCCAGACAGAGCACAGTGGAAAGGAAGAGGATTGGCCGGTGATGTCACACTCGTCGCCGTGGTGAATCTGCAGGTGGTCTGGGTGTCCTGGCGGCCTGGCAGGTCGGTTTCCAAGTTTCAGCTAGTTGGAGGCTTCGACCGCGGTCTGGACGGACGCTCTCACCCTCCATTGCGGAGAGGGGTCGGGCAACCTGAAGGAGTGACAGCAGAACAAGAAAGGCAACCGATGGCTTTCTTGTCTGATCTTCCCCAACCGCAGTGACGTAGTGACAGACCCAGAACTGGATTTCAGGGAACTGCACCCAGCGTCAACGGCCTTAGTCAGCTCCCGCGCTCCACACACTGTCGCCGCTCGATCACTCTACGCCGCGTCTACGTTCACTATGAACAAATGTTCCAGGTTTTGTTCCTTGTTCCTTGTTCTCGAGGATCTTCCTTCTATCTTACACGCTATGATATATTCCCATACCCCAGGGAGTGCTAGTTGCCACCGGTCGCACAATACTGTCGACAGCTGGCAGACAAACACACTCCTTGCTCCGGTCGAGATATGCAGCCATCCCGCTTTAGCAAGCATCAGAGATACTGGTCCACTTGCTGTCTCTGCTCAGCTCAGCCACCACGATGGCCAGCTTTTGTCGCATTCTGTTTATCGTCACCAGCATGCAGATTTTCAGCGCGACTTGCAGTCTCTCACCGTTCTTCTCCTTCAAAATTCTTCAGTATCGGTGGGGTAGTCGAAAAGCATGTGAGACCCGGCTGACCGTGAAGAACAAAACCCTGCATTATTGGGGGTTTCAATCTTGCATTCCAGCATTACTATATGTGGAACTATCATCCATCCGATATGTAATATTTCTCCCACGCCCTCGGAGATGGCAGAAGGCGCAGGTCAAAGCTCCGACTGGGAAAGATACTTTGCGAAAACAGGTTTCTTGTAACCAACGGGCCCTTTGGGAGCTTAAGTCTGGCTCAACCGTGCACCTGCCCAGACAAATGCAACCGAGCCAGCTCCTTCGTAGTAGCACCATTCCAGTTTTAACCCAACGAAACAGGACCTGACCGTTGTTTTCTGTCGACGGTATGATCGATCATACTTCTTGAACGGGAAAGGGATGCAGGTGGTGGTTGAGTCAGCACGTCATGACTTGAATGATGCTCGTGTCCAAAGTCCGGTTCTCGGTACCGCAGGAACCGCTCGTGGTTGTATTTCAACCAACTGCTGGGCTAGCTGACTAACCCATGTAGTTTCCGAGTTCACGATGTCCGCCTCAATTTTGCGAATGATACCCAGCTCCTCGGCCATTTGATGCACTAACGTGCCCAGATTTTTGACCGCTCGGAGTAATGCAGAAGTGTCGAGCTTCTCCAAATCTCCGTAGCCCAAGATGTCCAGACTCTGAAGCTGCCTTGATGCAAGTTCTAGTTTCAATATCAATGCATTTATCTCATCTTTCCACTCGCGGCGAATTGGTTCAATGAAATCGCCGCCACTTTGTCCTCCTATCCGTGACATTCGGGCCTCCTGCACTTCTTCAACTCTCTGCAGCCAACTCTCGAACTCAAGGATGGCCATTGTGTACCGCCCGCTGCGGCTGTCGCCAATATCATACACCTCCTGAGCAATTAGTGATAGAAGCTGGATCTGCTCCGCGAATCCCTGCTGCCCGTTATGCTCGCGCGCGTTCCTAAGCCAATGATGCAGCGCCTGCCCATTGACTTGTCTTTGTGTCTCCTTCTCCACGTCCAATATGGCCTTGTAGTTTCCTGCGACCGAGTCATATTTCCTCCGTAACTCCGATTCGGCATCTCGTTCCCACTGGTCATTGCGTTCCAGTCCAGACTTATGTAAAAGGCTGAGCTGTAGAAGTTCGGTTTGTAGCGCTCCCACCTCGGGCCAAGATGAAGGAATCAAGGAAGAGGTCTGATCGGATTGCGCATTAGCGCCCGGTGTCGGCGTAGGCGGTTTTGGCGTTTTCTTGGGTGAAAAGTGTTGCTGGTACGTAGAAAACTGATTCCGGGACCTGGGTGTTGTCGCAACTGAGGACGCCTGAGGAGTTTTGGAGGCCGGTGTCACAATCTGACTTCTGTGTCTTGCGTGTCCGCGTACCGTTGACGTCGTCCCCGGGTTTGAATTCGGAGGCTGCCTCAAAGAGGTCGATCGAACTGGTCGCGGCGGGGGAGGCATGTCTGTTTTCTTGGGCGACGGTGGCCGTATCTGTTGCTTGACAGCACCATCATGTTTGACTGTAGGCGTTGAGCCTTTGGTTGGGGATCCCGGGGCTCGCGCGATCGCCCTCGTGCTCGTAGGAAGCGTGGTGGACTTCGCGGAGGATGGAGTCTTTAGCTGACCTGGGCGGATGAGGCTTTGGCGGCGGGTCGGAAGCGTAGAGGGGGTGGTTTTCAAGGGGGAGGCTTTGGAAGGTATCTCTTCTGTTGACTGTGAGGCAGCGGTGGTGGGAGGTTTCAAGGTTGGAATCGTACGCCCTGGATTGCCAGGCTTTGCACATTTGTAAGAAGAGGCTGCGCAGATACAAATTCAAGGGGAATTCGAGCTCAACCCTTACCTGCTTACGGGGCTCCCGGCCTGGAACCGAACGCGTGGGGATTGGCATAGTTCCCAAAGTTGGGATTTCAGCCCGGAGCTCGGCAGATGATAGAGAAGCGGATGAAGGGTGAAAAGGTCATGAAGCCCTCGGGGTCGAGGCAGTCGATAGTCTGAAGGGCGAGAGAAGCAAGTCCGAAGCTTTGAAGCTGCGGTGAACCCGAGCGTCAACAATCAAAGCTTGGCACCTCCGCCTGCGCATCCACCAGTCTGGAGTATTCGTGTCGTGGACAACATTCAATGCCACAGGCCTTTAAGTGTCTGGTAGTTTCAATTATAGCTAGTATAGGCTAACGCTGCTATGGTATTTACGCCATTCTGTGGAACATTCCATCGGTTGTATAATATGTGTTCATCGATACCACTCTAGGCGGGCACATAATGACATGGGAAGAGAGATGCCATAGAGCTCTCATTACAACGTACACACCGAGGATTTAACTTACGAAAATGAACACAATAACCAAAAAGGCTCTCTCTCTATAAGGGCACGAAAGGCGGAGTAAACCCCAACTTTGTTTATTGTATACTGATGGCGTATACTGCGGGTACAAAGTATAACCAACTTGACGAAAAATAATTTTCATTTCATTAATCCGTGAAGCTTTTTATCATATTCGCGTGGAAGTGGCCAAAATTATAGGCTTCCTCGTCTCGGGAAGGAAACCCCTTCCACAGCAGCATGATCGGTAAACCAGGTGACTTTCTCGCCTGCCCCCTGGTTGACGAGGGCGGATGGAAGGCTCCTCCCTTCCTCTGCATCAAAGATCTGTTTCATAATCTCTTTCTTGCCACCACCTGTAGCGATGAAGGCGATGTTCACAGCGTGCGTAACAACAGGCAGTGTGAGTGTGATGCGCTTTGGCGGCGGCTTCGGGGAGTCGCTAATCGCAGACACCCATGAGTCCTTCTCTCGCAGCAATTCGTGGCCAGGGAAGAGACTGCAAGTGTGGCCATCCGGACCGCAGCCGAGGAGAATAAGGTCGAAAACAGGCAGCTTCACGCTGTCCTTGGCAGCGAAGGAGCGCATCAGGTTTTCCTGGTACAGATCCGCGAGCTCCTGGGGGTCTTCGTCGTTGACATGGGCTTCATCGATAGGGTGCACTTTGGGGGCGCCCAGATCCGATGGAATCTTGCTGAGCAGCTCATCTTTCAAAAGGCGATAGTTGCTGTCCTCGTGGTTGAGAGGGACGGCGCGCTCATCTGCGAAAAAAATCTCCCACTTGGAAAACTGGGCAGTATCCTCCGGACTCCCATCTCCAGGAACAAGGAGTGATTTGGCGAGAACAGCAGGCAGGGAGCCTCCGGATACTGCGATGCGAAACGTGTCATGACGGGCTAAGGCCGAGTTCTGGCTTCGGAGGACATAGGGCCGTAATTGCTTGGCCAGAGCGCCGGTGTCTTGAAAGCTGAGGAGATTGGGAGCTGGTCCAGCCATGGTTGTAGAATTGAGATTCGCGCGTATTTTCTGACGGTGATTCACGATCGATGAAGGGAGCAGATTAAGAGCCAAAAAAAAAGAAGTCGAAGGATGAGTGAGGGGTGGTGCTTCGGTCAGAGCTTCAGGTGGGGTGGCGGGGCAGAGACGCTTGATATTAACCACAGTGTCAGAAGCGAAGGCCGCAGATGTAACGATGATGGGAATTCGATGGCTTGGTAAGACTGAATGCGGCCTGCCAGATAAGACAATTATGAGCTTCCAGCGAAACCTCAGGAGGCATCAGGTAGGAAGACCGTTGCCAGAGCAGCCGGAGTGCTACTCCATCTGTCGTCAGTCATCCCTCCCAATGACGTCGCCTCCGAGGGGAAGCGACAACCACCACCAGCATTAATAAGGGCAATGATTCAGCCGGGCTCACGCCAGAGTTTATAGGGACCCATTTTCGTCTATCTTGAATCGTGTCTCCCCTCGAATCCTACGGAAGTCCAGAAGGTTTTGTACAAGGGCCCAAGTCTCACTTCGACACTGATTTGAGGGGAAACTGGGGAGAGCATCGACAATGATGTCAGAGGCCCTTTTGCCAACGCTTCCCTGATGCGGATCAGAAGGCACAATCCAAATAAGAAAAAGGCACGGATGCTGTTTGCTCGATCCCCTGAGGCTAATTGGCAAATCATGCAGCGAAATGAGGGGTTTATCACCTCCAAAATGCCTGAGCGCCCGTCCGCAGTGAGATAATCCTTTGGGCCACGTACGTTGGGACCATCTGTGGCTCGCGGGCGAACCTCGCACGTTATGCACAATTACGACATCGCGCAGGCGCCTCGGCGGATCATTTTGAAATGCACAATCTCTGGAGCAGGTATTGCGCGGCTTGGATATTAGTATACCATGGGGCAACGCCAAGTTTGCGCCGGAGAGGAAGCCGGTTAGCGCAAGGGTGATGAGCACATAACAGGAGGGCACTACGATGGTTTGGGGAATTTCCTCCTGGTAATGATATGCGGAGTTCAATGCATGATACGGGCTGTTCCGTCCCCCTAGTTCGATTTCCATCAACCGTCTGTGACAGATCAGGAATGAGGGTGATGTGGGAGAGGGGAATTGCGCGCCCGCACTCGGAGAATAGGCTCAGAGGGGCTGGAATGCCTACGAGGCAGTCCTTGCAAAAACAATTGGGATAATATGGAATGTCTGGAACTGGAAAATCGAGCAAAAGCTTCAGTTCTTCACGTGTTTATCGACAACGTCATCATTGGCAATGCCTTATCGGTGTTCGACAGGATTGGCGCCAAAAGATGGTCGCTCGCATCGGTAAATTGCACACTGAGAGGATACGCGGGTATTTGGCGAAAATGCCTCAGACTAAGTCAAGTGAAGAACACCAGTTTAAACCCAAACAACATGGTGGAGGAGAATCTAGAATGTGCATACGGAGGAGAGTCGAGCGCGGGTTGCCCCGCCCTGCACCAGACCTGCACCCAAAGTCCGTGCCAGAAAACCAAACACTCCAGTCGACTACTCCCAAGACTCCAGATTCGCAATCGGGCCATCACTGGTACTTACGAAGCTGTCAGCTGCACCCCATTGTCAGATACGATGTGGGCAAGATATGCTCAAAAAACTTGGATCGGGAGAACGGCCAACCAATGGCAAAACACAGTGATCGAGTCGAGGTGTAATCAAGCTCAGTCCTGAAGGAGTTGTCTCGTAGATAATCGCTTCAACTCTACTTGCCGATCGATACAGGAAATACACCAGCACAGGCGGGACTGTGAAACGGCCAGGGTGGATCAGCATTCGCCTCGCACAGCCGTTGAGCTTCGCGCCTGACACGGCTGGGCGACTGGATGTCCGCTTGACTCGCGCCTCTCGCCAGGGTTCCCACGAGGGAATAAGCCATTCATGCCCGAAACGGGATAATGCATTTGTGTCGGCATGATTAATGAACGATGTGAGAGGTCTTATGTCAGTTGGTATGTGAGGTAAGACGGATGGGACGGATGTTGCTGCAGGGCCACAGCCCCAGGCCGAGAGCCCGATGGACGGACTCTGCCAGCCCGATGGGCGATGAAGCCGTCAATAGAAATCCAGAATGAATCAGTAGTCCCTTACAAAGCAGCAGCATCCCGCGATTGTCCTCTCAAGAACGGGAGCTAGACGGCGGGTTATGCAGCCGGGTGGTTTATTCAGCAGAGATAACCATGGGTAACTTCATGTTTCCCCGAGGTCGAGGTGCACGTTGGGCTGGAGGAGTGAAGTATGCGCAGACGATCGCTTCAGTCTTGACCAGTCATGACGACACGACGCGAACTTCCTCGTCGGTGCAGTCCAGATAGTGACTGGCACTCACGCAATGCTTTATGCCTGGTTATGCAAGATTGTTTCACTTCCTACAAGCCCATTGTGCCGATGATGCATATTTGCCATCAAGCACGCCGCCCAAATAGTAGCAGCTGAAAGTCACAATGACAATATCCAGCATTATTAACCTTCATAACTTCCACAAACAGGGCAGTGCAATCCCAGGGAAAGATAAGCAGCTGTCCACCTCGCACTTGGTAACCCATGGCTCGGGCCCAAGGGCTCATTTTCCGCAGCCTTTCCTTCGTTGGATCTGGGTTTTAATGTGGAGCGAGCCACATTGCCGGCCATCTCCCCAGAGTAGTTGACTTTTGAGCTTCAGATCGGGCGGCGCTTTGAGAAATCGGCCGGAGCGGTGTCTTCACAGTGACGGAGTATAGAAACAAGAAAAATAAATTATCATAAATGATATTTTCTCTGCTCTAGCGTGATTTCCCAGTCGAGCGCACTAAATCCTTGGGCTGAGCAGGGGTGGGGACAGAAAACAGGGAGGAAACTGGAAAGAAAAACGGAAGCCTGAGGGCAAGTGGGTCGATCTGACCCTGAAACAGTGCAACTTATACCTTGCGCCAGCATTTATAGTCTCCAGCCTGCGCAGCTTCGCCCTGCTCCGTCGCTCCTCAACCATCCTGCTCTCACCACTGCTGGGCTTTTCGCCTTCTCCCTGATCTCTTGCCAGCTATAGAAACCAGGACAACCGCTCAACTTATTCCGTGCATCCCTCCCTCCTCCCTCCCTCAGCCACCATGAGCTCGTCCTCCGTCCAAGTCCCGCGTCCGCCCTCAAGCACGGGCAAAGATGTCGCTCCCTCCGGCTCAAACCCAGGCTCCCTGGGCTTCGATATCGTCCGTTGTTCACGGTGCCAACGCTCTATGAGCCTCGAGAGCGAATCCACACCCGGGGTTGTTCGATTCGGAATGAACTCGTATTACTGCAGTCGCTGTGCCTCCATGGTGGGCTTCATCCGCTGAACACACACCTACACTTTGACCCTATTTTTCGAATTCGGATCTCAATATAAGAGAAACCCCCCCCCAACGTGAACTCCTCTTCTCGTCAACTCCACCCACGGTACTGGGAAAGCAGGCTCCAACGCGTTGGACCTGCCCCTCGATTGGTCTCTTCCCCCATTCAACGGCATTCACTCTGAACGTGTTCCGGGAACATCTTCACTGTGCTGGCGCAGAATGACCTCTTCGAAGGTCCAACAACAATGGCTGGTCCAGTCACTGTTTTACGAACAACCCTCTCCGTCCATGAGCGAGACTGTGATGGTACCTTGTGGCGCAACCTTCGATATGAACTGTGACCCTTTACCACCAGTCCGCATTCAAGATTCACACTCGCTTACCGGCCTGGCGCCATGATATCTATCTACTCTGAGCCTGCGACACCGAAATCTTACCCCGATTTGACGCGCTTTCGAATGCTGTATCACAAATCAAAGCCCCGAGATACCCCGCGCCATCGGCGATACCAATAGCGACGATCATATATTCAATTCAGGCTTTTTTTTCTTGTTTCTTTGCGACAATACCCAAAGTCATCATTAGAATCGATAAAAACATCCTGTATCTAGTTGCTAGTGTTTGAAGGACAAGTTCCGACCAAACAACCCCCCAAATTCAATATAGAGATTATTGGAAACTACCGAAAATAAGACCCAGTTATCATTTCAGATTCACCCACTCTCCCATCGCCTCCATCCCTCGATGGCGAAAATCAAACACTAGTCCATGTTACAGAATAGGCACATCACACGCTTATCACAATGTCAATCAGCGGTAAACCCCAGAGATCCTCGCTCGCACGCTCATGATTGTCGCCACGTTCTCATGAACATCGCAGATCCTTCTCCCTTCAGATCATCACACCCACGACTGTGGGCCTGTAGGGGTGGCTGACAGTCAAGTCACAGTGAACCACCGTGCTGGGTGCTGCTCCCTCAGTAGTAGCCAACAAGTTAACCACGTATTTGCGGGCGCTGAGCTGCGCTTCCTCCCGTCCGAAACCCGTCCCTGACATAATGATAGACGGAACGGAAAACCTGACTCTCGGTGTCGGAGTCGTTTCATGTCTATCATCTGTCTCACTCTGCAGTCTGCAGATTCTCCCATCCACACGGATACTACGGAGCCCTATCTACCGACCGTACCATACTTCCAGTTTTGGTAGTACTAGTAGCTCTTCCATCTGGCTCCTACGAGGCTACAAGTTGACTTTGTCTTGCCAGTTACCACGGCGGGTACCTTGTTTACCCCCCGGTCTAGTTTCATCCCTTTCTCCCTCTCTACCCCAACGAAAACACGTTCAGGTTGAGATTGAATCCATTATTCCTTACGCACCCCGCAGTGGATCAGTTGAAAACTTCAGCTTCGTGTGACTCAATATCTGGGGGCATTTGAAGGCCCAAGCACATAGGCAAGAAGGTTAGACTGGGAGTGCCGAGTGATAGCCTGGGAGGCCATCCGTCCTCTGTGGAGTCAGACTAGCCTGTCGTATCAACAAATTGGATCTGTGCGAGCCACAGAGCAACTAGTTTGCCATGTGCGCCGTAGTCTACCTTCCTTAGGAGGTGACTAGGTTAGCCACAGGCGATCAATGCTTGTGCCAATTCGGTCGGTTTCTCAGTTCCTGTGGGGGAGGGAGATGAGTGTGAAACTAGATAGAAAATAATCGGTGCCTGTCTGGGTTGAGCTAACCCACTTCGACGTACACCGTAGAGACTTCTCTAATACGTACTCGGTACGGTTTACCTCTCTCACTCTTCCGTGTGGGCTGAGAGGGAAAGGGTCGGAGAAGATTCGAGGGTATTCTTCGGGCCAAGGTCGGTATCAAGATTCGATTCAGATTGAAAGGCGCCAAAAACGGAACGGTCGGATTATTGGCAGAGAGGTTCGTGCCTGTGCCGAGGAAGCCGGAAGGAGGGGAAAAAAAGAAAAAAATGGAAATAGTGGGAATGCTAGCAGTAGTGGCCAACCTGGGCAGCAGAATTGGCCGATCGGAGAACGCCGTCAGACTCAGCCGTGTGCCAGAGTGGCTTCAGCTCTGCTGCGGTGCCCTGCATCAGCACCAGCATCGGTCATTCGGCATGGCCTGGCTGCGTCTGACACAGTCACTGGATGTGCCCAGTACAGCCAGCCACAGCCACGAAACAGCAGAGAGAACGCTGACCGCAGAACCCCCTTTTCTTTTTCCTGTTGCTGGAATTTTGGCGTTGGAATTGGAATTCCGAGACGGTGGAACCTGAGCAGTTGATTATCAGTGGAGCTTTACTGCGTCGTCCATTTGTTTCAAGTTTTCGCCACAACAATCAACATGGGGTTTCGTCTTGGGCTTGGGGCTTGAGCCCTTGGTGTTTGCAGCTGCTGTGCAGTTGTCGGCCTCTGAATTTGCCATAGGGATTGGCAGCGGAGGCTGGTGGAGCAGCTCCTCATAATAACCAACGTGCAAATACGTACCTGATTGAGACTCGAGAGTATCCATATTCGATCAGACCGCATAAAGCCGAGTTAGCCCGTTGGACTCTGCCATGTGATGTGCTCGTCTTTCCTCCAGAGCCATCCGACAGTGACGCTCATACCAAACCAAGGGTCTAGACATTCCAGGCTGGGTAGAGTTGGTCCTTTGGAACGTTTCATCTTTCGAGGTTGTTCCAAAACCCGGATCGTTGGGTGCATGCGCCACATTCCGATGCTCATTGGAAACACAGCCTCAGCCTTGTCGCGCCCTGGGGGCTTGACCGGTCCCTCCGACTGGGTCCAAACAATAATTGTCTTACTCTTCTTGGGCCTTCTTGAGTCCACCTTCAGAAGAAGTGAGGCTTAGGGCCTGCTGTCCACGCGACGTGATCGGCGTGACTCATGGGCCATGGCCTCGTACACCGTAGTTTGTGTACTTTATCCTGGTGTCGAGCTCTCGCCAGAGATGGCAACAGCCTCCGCGAGCTTTCATCAGCACGCCCCGCCCAATGACAGCTGTCTCCGGCATAAGGCGTCATGCATGGCTATCGATCAGCAGGAAGGATATAGGTACATAGCTAATTAGAGTATGGTGGCCGAAGACCTGAGGTGTCCCGTACGATCACAATGGGTGGTGATTATCAAGATACCAGCTCAGCCACTGATAGATGCGACATATTTGCATGACTCATGTCCTTTGTTCTGGTGCTTACCCCGTACTTTGTGTCCGAATACTGTCCCTTGTCTGAGAATCGAGCCATGCATGCCAACGAAAAATATTCAGGGATATTGTAGGTAGGGGATTGTGTAGCCCTAAGCCTCGCGCTTCGGCCCAGGAAGAGCCCACGAGGCAGAAGGGTTTCAGTAACACAAAGACCACAGAATCCGATGGTCGTTCTAATGGCCGATTTCCAAGATAATGTAGGCCAGAGGCCTCGGGAATAACACTCAGTCGAGAAGATTCGGTGAGCGTGAGCGCTTAGAGAAACCCAGGACGAAATAGAGGTATTCGTTCACATTGTATAGATGACCCCAGATAACAGCACCGAAAGAAGTTTAGAGGTCAAAGAGCCATAGCCTTGATTATTGTCTGCACATTCAGACGGGACCAACGGAGAGTATCCCCTTTCGACAAAACGGGTGTCTCGACCGAATGATGTATATTGTTGCGAAACACAAAATTGTAACTGGTAGCGCACTTCCGAAGTAGGAAATATCTATGAGAGTTAATATCGTTTCGTCTCCAGCCGAAGTGGTTTGTGGATGGAAAGAAGAATCTATTCCTGCCTTCCAGTCGGAATTTATTTCAGCCTCTCCGCGTGATAACTGACAAGCGAAACTCTTGCCGTACAATGTACCTACCCGACGTTCCTACACGATGCACTTGTTTTGAAGGGCGGCCGAGTTCGCCATTGATCCAACTAGATGAGTATCTCTCATGCAAAAACGATCAGGGGTTATCCCCGATGGATCAGAGCGAGACTGGGCTGGGAATCCGAGGGGCAGAACAAGTAATGGGCCTCACTTTACTGCAGTGCCCCCGAATGCCTTGGGCAGGCTGCTGTGTTTCGCCGACGCTCGCAATGGTCACTCCAGGTCTCTGTTCGCCTTGCACTTTGTCGATCGGAAGCAAAGACAAAGAAACCGTCCCCCTTCTCGAGCCTGGTTTTGTGCAATTTGTGCGCGTCATCGGACGTGATACATCACAACTGTGCGACGAAGATCTATTTTTGAAGTAATCGAAAAGAGAAACCCTCAGATTACGTCCGCCAATCACGACTGCAGCCTTAAGTGTCTCCAAGCTTTGAAATCCATCTCGAGTTCATGAGCGAGGAGTGTTTTGCTTTTGGCCGGACCTCTCGTTTCGGAGTTTCGAGCATCGACCGACCAACTCGTTCACCCCTCGCTTGATGACATCGCCTCATTGTGGATGCGGCAATGCTGCTGAGTATTATCCACCAACTGGTTGCAGCACAGGTGGGATATGCAAGGTCAGAAGACCGCCACTCAGACAGCCCTCTGCTGTCACAGCGGTTTCCCTCGACGCTCCAGCTTTCTTCTCCTGGCCGGCCCCGAGCTCAATCTGGCGGTGTAACGCCCATAGTGCCAAGATTAATCCTGGGGAATTCATGGTGTTATTCGACGACAAAGATCTGGAGAAAGTCCAGGTTTGTGCGAGGGTGAAAGACGGCGGGCGACTAGGATCTGTCAATGTGATTGTATGGGGCCGCAAGCCTGATAGAGTTTGGCATTCGATTCGATCTGTTATGCGCAGCCGAGACGGAAAGAAAGGAAAAAGAAAAGTACAAACTATCAAGAGGGGATGCGGAAGGGGGGAAAAGCAAGTTCAGGTGTCCTGCCTGTGCTGAGTGCAGTGGCTGTCTGTCTGCTTCTGCTTCTGCTTCTTCCTTCACTTCACATTAGTATTATTATTCTCTTCCTCTCTTCCTCCACCACGGTTGATCATGCACGACATATCAGGCTCCATCCGATCCTCTCGATTCCAGATCCCAGTCGAGTTGACACATCTTCACCCTCAGGCGTCGCCAGCACTGCGCCTTGTTATTCGTCAGCGGGTCAGCGATCTGTCGGTGACACTCTTCCTTACCCTTTGCCCTCCGCCCCTCGATGAAGAAGCCACTTTCTTTGAACCGTCTATTCGCCCTCCTCTCGCTCAACCGTTGCTTCACCCACTTCGACGTTTCGTACTTTGACTGACTTAAACGTTCATTCCGGCGATTGTGGCTGTTGCCCTCTTACCTACCGGGCTATAGTGTCTCGATGTAGATCGCAGCACCGATCCTTCTCGCCCACTTTGCTGCCTCCTTGGCCTTACTTGGTTATTCTTGTTTAAGTCGAAAAACTTGCCCTCTATTTCCATTCTTTTTGATCATTCGCGACTTTGCAGCTCGCGACACCACAAAGAAGCCGCCCGCTCTTTAACCTAGTGCCTACCATCGTTCGTTGATATCGGAACGCCTCCAGGTAGAACACCAGCGCAGGGCATCCTGCCAAACACCAAAAACATCGTTTCCTAGGCATCTTTATCTCCATTTGCTGAGAAATCCCCACCGTTCCACCGGGCCTTTCTTGGTTTCACATCTCGTTCCGAGGATTGTGATATCAGCTGTCCGAGAGCGGCTACGAAACTCCGTGATATTGGGGTAGCGCTATTTGCATTGTTGGCCATCTTCAACGGACACTTGTATTACCAACGCAATGTCTTATCCATTGCACGAGAAGCCCCGGATGGCTAAATCTCGTGGATCTGAGGAAGAGTTTGTCCTGTTTCTTCAGGGGGTGAGTTTCATAAGTTTCCATCAGGCAATTCGCCCGCGGACTTGTCTTACTGAGAAATCAGGTTCCAGCTCGCTGTCGCTGGCAAGAGCTCAAAGATCTAGTCCGCCAAACTGCGCTGCACATTCGACAAGCAGTGGTCTACGATGACCATCGTGGATTTCCCACTGGGCTGGGACAGATTATTGTGAAGAATGAGGACGAAGCTTGGCGGACATATCGTACGTGCAGCAGCTTCTTTCCTTCTGTCCGGAACAATAGCTGACAGAAACTCTGGTTTCTAGACAGGTTGTCCACCACCGGTTGGGAAGGACAAAGCCTGGTTGTTACTCTTGCGCGGACGAGCTCGCCAACTGAGCCCATTGCTGGGCCTACCAAGAGCCCACCCTGTATCATGCAACCTAACTATCTAGCAGGGTATTCAACACCATCAGGAGTGCCCCGACATGTCGCTATGCCACCGTCACCGATAGCTACAGAGTAAGTTCTCTCAGTCTTGAGACTGACGTAAAGAAATTCATGCTGACCATGCCGAGAAGCTCTGTTGTACCGCCGAGTCCGACTTACCAGAGCTCGGAATATAGCACTATGCTCAACCCGATATTTCTCTCTCACCAACCCTTCATGCCGATGTTTCCAGACCCATCATGTCAACTAGTCCCAGCCGTACCGAATTCACCTACCCTTCAACCCTCACTCTGCGACCCGATGGGATACGGATTTATTCCTACATTTACTATGTCCCACCAAATGCAGCAACCCGCCGTAGCAAACAGCACCGCCACTCGCAAAGGCTACTACAGTTACAATAACCGTCATCCGCAAACATATCCGCGACAAAACCTCCGCCGTGGCATCGTGATCCAGAACCTCAACCCAGCCACAACGGACCAGGACCTGTACAGCCTACTACAAGAAACCGTCACCGTGGAACACTGCGAGATACTGCCGATGTACACGAGCTTCAATGCCGCCCGGAACAGAGCCACTGCGCGTGTTACACTTCGCTCTTCAGAAGAAGCAAAACGCGCTGTGACCCTGTACAACAACTACTCTTTCATGCGCTTCAGAATCCGCGTCAAGATCGACAAGAACATTCCGCCCACTTTACCATATAATCTTGCCTCTGATATATATACCCCTGGCCATAGTGATTTATCTACATCTGCATACAGAGAAACTCAGCTTCAGTTCACTCCGCCGACAACCGAGAGTTCAAGTTCAGACACAGACGAGCTAACCCAAAGCCACGAGGCTGTGCAGGACAACGCCACAGAGTTGAGTCCTAAATCAAAGACAAAACAACTCGACAGCTTTCAGCCGCTGGTCGTGAATGGGTCTGGAATCGGAGGAGGTACTGCTGTTGTGACTTGATTACCTGGCTCTCGGATCCATTTACAGTCTCCATTCCCTTGAGTCTGAGATTCTGGAATGAATACTGCTTGATACATCTTCTATTTGGTACCGGTCCTGCCTGTTTGGTTGGCTGTCTTTCTTTTGTCTCACAGCGGTGTCGGCTTTCTATAAAAGTGGGTTATGCAGGTAAGGAGGGTATAATAGTATAGGCGTATAATAGGCGTGAGATAGAAAAGTATGTGTCATACAAATCGTGCCCATGGATTTAATTTCCTGATCTAATAATAAACATCTATGTCCTGTCGAGTGGGAACGAATGAAATCAGGCTTCCAAGAGTGTTGACGCAGTCAATCGATCATTCAATTCATCAGTCATCGAAGGCCACGCTATCTCGTATAGAGTAAGTACATCATGATGCATGCATTAATCATTTCCTTTTCCTTTTCCTTATTTCTCCTCTCAATTCCTTTCCCTTCCTTCAATCGCCGCGTATGCTATTGCCAAAGTTAGACAACTCAGGCAATCCTTCCTCCACTGGAACGAAACCTCTCTGCCTTTGCCCTAATCAGTCGTCCATATCAGTCGTTCAATGCAATCATGTTATCGTCTCATAAATAAAACAACGCAATCCCTCCATGGACTCGGAACCGCAAGAATGGAAATTTTAAAGAACAAAACAAATAACAACAACAACAATAAAAGGCCTATTGGAAAAAAGCAAACAAACCAATGTTTCTCATGAGAAACAGAAACGCCACGTGAGAACAGAACGGGGCAGTTCAACAACAAATAAGCCCGAAAACACAAAGGGTGAAGAAGAAATAATAATAGTTAGTTAAACAAAACCTAAATAATACAGGGGCTGAAAGTTGTACGCGTGGAGTCGAAGAGACGTGGATTTGAGATATGGCCGGCAAGGTGGGTTTCACTCATCCCATGGCTTCCCCGAGCCTGAACCAGACTTGACAACAGAGTACAGAAACTCAAGTTGGATGTGCCGTATGCGGGCGTAGATTATATGAGTGCATACGCGTCATTTCGCATGGTCTATTAATTCGGCGTACAGGGGATCGGGGATCTTGCGAACAATTAGGGCAGCCAGAGCGATAGTCTCTTTCGCGTCGAGGGGTGGGAAGGATCGGAGAATTTTGTTCGGACTAGATAGTTTGAAAGAGCGAGTTAGGTGAATTGATTATTGACTGATCGGTTGAAACGAGTGGAATCAAAGCAGACGCAGACGCAAGTCACTTGAAGAATGAGAAAGAAGAATAGATGTGACTGGTCAACTGAAAAATGGACCCAGGTTTTGGCTGGCTGGCTCCGAGATAAATGGAGGAGGGAAAAAAGAAAACATGGCAAAGGGGTGATACGTACTTCGAGCTTTTAAGAAGGGTGTCTCTCATCAATATCAGTTGCGCCACGATGCAGAGGATGTTGAGATGTGGCCCATAAGCAAATAGGAAATCCCACAGATGGAGGACTTCGGGAAGCGGAGGTGTGCATGCACAGAGCGTGAGGACAGATGGAAATGCGTATAGCTTCGCTTGTAAACCCTTGGAGAAGAGGTAGGCCGCCAGTTTGGGTTCCACAATTTCTAAACATCGGTCAACAAGGTTGAGCCCTCGATGGACACCGTCCATGCCACCCCGGATGTAGCCGGGGCACTCGCGGGTGATGAAGGTGTGGAAAAGCGCAAAGGCCTCAACTTCGCTACGGGCTGCGTAAAGGAACGGAGCACAGAGGACGTTCATGCCCTGCACGTATATTGCCGACTCGCTGGTGATGCCAGGGCTAACTGCTGCTGTGCTGCTATTGCTACTGATGAGGCTGCTGGGTGTCATGTCTTCCACTGACGGTTCTTCTTCTGCGATGCTTGGCGGTGTGTTGATGAGGAGTTCCATCTCGCGTCGGCGCGAAGATGGACGGGACTTTGGTTTGTTCTTGATCTTCGCATCGTGAATCTTCCATGCCACTGCATTCAACAACCGGATGAGGCTGGCTTCTGTGACACGGCGTTTAAAGAGCGGGTCGGTGGCTAGGGTGCGGAAGGTATCGTTGCGGATTTTTGTATAGGCAGGCGAGCGTCCACGATGGATAAGGGAGAGATATTGATCGGTAGGGAGTGGTGGGATATCGAGGAGGATCAGCCATAAATAGACTCTATATGTTGACTGGATGTAAGGAGTTAGTAAATAGCAATCCACAAAAAGACTATAAGGCGAACTGTACCATGCCATCGCCATCTGCTTCTACTCTTGTAGATAGAACCAAGTATCGCAGTTCCTGGAGCGTTTCTTGCATGTTCCCTTGTTGAGGACCGTCTCGTAACAGCGTTTCTAAAGGGGACTTCTTTACTCCAAAACCAGACCCTGTCTTACGTCCGGGCCGTCGCTGGGCAGGTATCGCTGGAACATCGCGGGATGAGGTGTCGCTGTTCGATCTCGCGCGGCGATGCGTTCGCAGCCGGACAGGAGATTCTAACTGGGACGGGTTGGAGAGCTCGTTGGGTCCTGCTGAGGAGCGGGCGGAGGAGACCTGGGAGGATAGGAGAGGGCCGGAGGAGAGGTTGTGGTGAGACTGGATCTTACGCAGGCCTCGCATCGTCCGTGGTGATGGAGATCCGGCCAAAGCAGCCAAGTTGAGCTGAGCCTGCGTCGGCGGTTGAGATGGCATGTTGACGACGGTCGAGGTCTGGATTTGGATGGAGTCGGAGGTGGTCGCGGATGGCGGCGGGGAAACACACCATCTTCCGGTCAGCCAGCAACGAGAAGATGGTCCATGGAGAGTTTCGCGAAACCAACGATGCAGTCGAGTGAGCGCTCGGCAAGGATCGAGAAATATTTCGGTGGCGGGCGGTTTTGCAGGAATGCGGAGCCTCGATCTCAGGTGTAAGCAAGTCCAAGCTTGTCCACGCGGCGCTAAGGGAGAATTAGAGCATTATTTGCATGCGCTAAACTGCTTTTCTTTATATGCACGACAATCCGCTTGTGCACAAGACAACAGGTGTCTCACCCCTACGGCTTTGTGATGGCTGGATTCGACACACTGGCCATGTATCGCCGCGTGCTTCAAACGTTGGTTGCTTTAAGGCACTACATTGCAACTAGGTATCTCTAACGCTCGACGTGATACATGTCTCCTTGTAGATAGTGTCCACCAACATCAATAGCGGTGCAATTTGGCCGCAGTTACTGGAGCGCCGTCTGAAATAATTCCTAAACAAACCGTGCGGCCTGAACGCCTGTCCCAGCCAAAACCGTAATAAATAATGACCCGTAATATAGCGACTTATCTCATTAGTTGTGCTTCACTTCGCTTTCGCTTGCCCATTCTCTGTTCCCCCCGTAACGGTGTTGACAAATTCCTGGTATTTCAGCACCTCTCCTCTCTTTCCATTCCCTTGGGCCTTGCCAAGTTTACCCCCGAACGCCTTGCGGCCAGTGAACCCACCAAGGACTTCGTTAATTTCCCGGTCCGTGAGTGGGCGCTCTCCATTGTCTGGGGCAGTATTGAGAAGTGCGTCACGCAGTTCTTCCACATCAATCTCGCCGCTGTCATCTTCGTCAAAAGCCGCTAAGGCATTGACCAGCTCTTGCCTGGATGATAGTGGTGAGAGTAATTGAGAAAGAGTATTTAGGAAAGTAGGAAAGTTAATTGTCGAAGAACTTCCTGGAGGGAAGAATTGGGATAAAGTGGACTGGTCTTGGCCTATTTCCAATACAGCTGTCAGCTATAGCTATGGTTGGATACTCCAAATAATGAGGATCACACTTACCAACATTCACAAGTACATCCGCCACATCTTCTTTGTCCACAAAACCATCGTTATCTCTGTCCAGGACCTGGAAAGCCTCTCGTATCTCTCTGAGCTGTGCTGGGGCCAGCCTAGCTGCCGCATCGGATGAGGCAGCCATCATACTAGTCGCTTTTGCCTCCATGCTCGATGGCGATGATTCGACTGCGCTCGCTCCCCTACTTGGAGACGACGGAGAATCCCTGGAAAACCGAGGCTGGGGTATCGGCTCCCGGCTCTTGGGAGAGGCATCGTGATCCTCAACAGTGTAGGATTGGTTTAATTTGCTGGGCGATACAACTGGGGTATATCCTCTGCTCGGGGAGCTCCCTGGTGTGGTTGGGCGAGCTTGTGCCGGAGGGGAACTGGGAGTAGATGGTCGTCGGAAAGGTGACGCACGGGGAGAGTTGAAGGACAGCGGGGAAGGGCGAAAGGGAGCATTGCTGGAGGGGACCTACAAGCATGTAATTAGCGGGCGTTATCATGAACTTGTATTAGATTGGCTTACCATGGCGATTATGGGTAAGCGGAGCCAGTTTCTTGCCGCTGTTAAGGACAATGACAGAGGAGGGTGAGGCTATACATACTTCCTAGAACGGCAAAGGACCCAAACAAAGCAAACTCGGAGGCGCTGAGTCAGCCGAAAGAGGCACGTGCGGGGCGTATCCAAGGACTATAGACCGTATACACAAATCTCGCTAGATGCAGCATACGAGCAAATCATGGCCATAGAAAATCGAACAAACCAGATACTGGGTAAACTTTAATATTACACTGCGTTGAATACCATAAAAAATGCTGTGGTCACTCCAAACCATGATTTATCACAGTGAGACTTCCCCGCTGTGGAGATCTGATCCGTTCGTTTCCTTTTTCGGCCTCTCGGTTTCCCCCTGAGTCTCAAATCACTCCGACAAGACATGCTTCACAACGTCGATCTAGCAGCTGATAATCCTTCAGTCTTTGCTTGACGTTTTTCTCCGCAACTCGCTAAATGGACTAACTACCGGCTTCCCCTCGATTGGTCCATTAATTGAGCATGCCGCAGCTCTTACTCGCCGGCTGTCTGGAGCTCTCCCACCTCAATTAACAACCCCCTCTCAATCCCCGTCCTCTCCGCAGAGTCCCTTCTCCTCACAACAAAGAAAATGAACGTTACATTGCCTATGCGGACGTCAGATGGGACGGGGAACCTGTCCTCCAGCCCTCCAAAGTCAAATGGACTTCCTCGCCTATCACCTTCCCCATCATTCGTCCGAAAACACTCTCCCAGCAGCTCCGATACATCAAATATCCGTCGCCTCGACCAGCAGGCCGCTGCGCCGGTCTCAAAGCCACGCCGATGTAAATCGCAATACCCCCGTGATTCACCCGAGCGCCATGTTGAATTCATTCTCGTTGCTTCCTTCCACATCGATCGGGGTCCAATTATGGAACACCAGTACCCAGGCCCCATTAGCAGCGATGAAGGCATGTTGGCGGAACTGATGCTTCCGGATCAGACACACGTTCGGAGCCAGGATTGGACTATATTCTTCCTACACAAAGATACAAGCACGGAGGGGGATGAAGACGGCCCAGCGTCGGGAAAGAAAAAGAAGAGGAAAGGTAAAAAGGCCAAGACACAGACGTCCTCGGGCGACAACGAAGAAGATGGCGTTGATTTGGATACTGGCTCTGGGGAGGAGACGGAGGAAGACCAAAGCAGCGATGAAGAAGATGGCGACGAAGGGCCCCCTTTGATGTATGTGCTCAACCTGGTCAACACGAAGCAGGACAACACTGTCAAGCGGTAAGTTTCCCTATCCAATATTCATAGATCTTTTGCGCGTGAGCGACGGCTGATGTGTTATTAGAGGTGCTGTAGTCAAGGCAATGGCGATTTGTACACGGCATTCTTTCCTTCACATATATAAAGTACGCAGCGTTTCCATGAACATGCTCCCATAGATGATTGTCCTAACGATAAATAGCCTATTCTACTACTAGCCCTGGAAGACTACTTTAAATCACCATACCCGGAAACCCTCGAAACGCTCTACAATGCCGTGAACTCCATGGACTTGTCCCCAATGCCGAAGTTGAACCTGCTCGAGCGGCAGATATTGCAAGCTAGTAATTGCAAGGATATGTTCATCGAAAAGTTCGAGCAGATGATTCATCAGCGAGGGATTGAGGAAGGCGAACTACCCGAAATCGACGAAGACAACCCACCGTCACCGAAAAGGGGCCCTGCGCCGCGATACATAGTCCCTCGAGATACCCATGAATTTGAGTCTAAAATCATTTATCATGACATTCCGATTCCGGTGAAAGTGCCAACGGTTATCTGGCCTGAGATTGTCGGCGATTTTTCGCTTGTCAAGCTCATCCAAGTCTTTTCCGCACCCCATGCGGCATCACCGCAGCCTTTCGCTCTCCACCCTCATTTAACCACTAGCGGTGCATACACCCACCCGGTCATCATTCTTGTTAACGCGATGTTAACACAGAAGCGGGTCGTCTTTCTTGGCCACAACCGACCATCTGGAGAGGTTGCAGAAGCGGTGCTAGCCGCATGTGCGTTGGCGTCTGGTGGGATTTTACGTGGTTTCACCCGTCATGCTTTCCCCTACACGGATTTGACGAAAATCGACGACCTCCTGCAGGTGCCAGGGTTCATTGCAGGGGTCACAAATCCGACGTTCGCCAATCATCCGGAATGGTGGGATGTACTCTGCGACCTGCCTACAGGCCGGATTAAAATCAGTAACCACATTGAACCAGCACCAGTCACCGACGGCTTACTGTACTTCCAGCAGCAGGGCCCAGTAAACATGTCAGGGCCAAATGCCGATCCCAGCGGAGATAATCTGTTCATGGAAGATGTTCTGCGCAGTATCGCAAACCGATACGGCGAGAACGCAATCAGGGCCAAATGGCGCGCCTACATCACGAAATTCACACGGGTTTCAGCCGTATTCGAAGAGATGGTTTATGGGGCGTCAAACTTGTATATAATTGGACCCAATGAGGAGCTTTCTCCTGAAAGCCCCAGCGGCCTGCAATCGGATCCGGGCGATCCAACAACGCTGCGCGGCCATGGCTATGTCTGGGCAGACGAAGCCTCCAAACAACGGGAACTGATGGCGTCGGTCTCTCGCATCGAAGGCTGGCGGACTACTAGGTCCTATTACTCTTTCATCCAAGACATTGCAGCAATGTACTATCCCGCTCGCCCCATCCAGAAGCCAGACCTTCACCATCATCATGACCGCCTCCGGACGCTGAAACTGCCCTCCTTCGACGCCGGCAACATCTATCTCGCTTTAGCTCATTCGATCAAAGACTACGCCGGCATCTGCCAACTTCTAACGGTCACCCCCGAGAGCCAGGCAGGCCTGTTCTATATCTCCATGGGTCTTCTCCATCCAGACCAGAATGTCCGCGAGGCAACAGCGGACCTTCTTGAGCGCATCGCTCTCCACCCAGCAGGGCGGCACTTTTGGGCACAGCTCAACCGGTTCGCAAAGTCCGCGTACTTTCGCATTAAGCGCGAGAAAGACGCAGCCGCGACCGCGACCGCATCGCCAGTGGTCAAATCACCAAGCGATAGCTTTGGTCCGCCGCAGAGCTTGGTTGGGGTTGCAATGGGTGGTGTGCCTTCTCATGGAAGTCAATAATGCACTCACATATCAATCAAGCGCGGTAAATGCGTATTCTTGTTGTTTGAAGCGATGGCCATGTTTTCTCTTTCTTTCTTTTGGACTTTGTTTCTCCGTGCATATTATATTATACTATAAATCCTTCCCCCTTCTTTCGTTCAGCCTATATGGGTGATATATTTGAGTCCTACCTGGGTTAGAACATGTACCTATTGTATCTACTGCGATTCGGGGAATCCAGCTGGAATGTTTCCAATGAGGAAGAAGAAATGGAGAAAATGGTCATACGGCGTTATGAATGAAATGCAAGGTTAATAATACTATAACTTAACAATTATTGTTTCTAAGGTGTATTCTTGATTAGTGAGCCATTTAGTGCTTGGTTGTTTTAGTAAGTGTTATTCTATAATGCAATGCACTGAGAACGTACTTTTCGCATATTAGATTTATCTAGCTGGTATATATCTAATTGGTATATACACGATTCAAATACCAAAAGGCAGTCGTTGTCATCATCCAAACATGATCAAAGTCAAAACCGGGACGACAACGCTAAAAAAATAAGATAAAAGGAGTGTCGGAATGTAGAAGGCGAGACACGCTTGTTAACAGTAATGGTATATAATATATATAGAAGGGAGGATTGAAGAGGCGGTCGAGGTGGTTGTGACGGTTGGGTATCTCATAATGATACCAGGGCAGCGCCTACTGTTAGGGAAACCCAGAGCGGGAATGAGATTGCTCGCTGCGACGCGGCAGCAGAGGGGATGTCGTCTTCTTCCCCAACGGTGATGTTAACCTTTGCGAAATCCGCACCACATTTGCCGTTGACTGCCTTGGCTGAAGGGATGTATGAATCTGCAAGCGGCTGGTCCTTGACCTGGGCCCATTCGCTGAAGATGTCTAGAGTTGCTTGGAGGCAAGGGCCACAGGTTGGAGTGGACTTGGAGTCAATCGTGCTGCCGTAGGGGAGGAAGTAAATGTCGTAGTCAACTGGGTTGGAGGAGTTTGTGACGGCATCGACGAAGCAGTAGTCGGATGTGTCCGGGTTTTGGAGGCAGGTGGCACGGTAGATAGGTTCGTAGGTAATCATGTCGTAGTAGGCGTTTGCGACGAGAGGGTTGCCGGCTTCGTAGTCCTGGCCGCAGTTGTCGTCGGCGAGAAGGTCGGAGGCAAAGCTGGACATGGTGGAGGAGCAGGACGAGACGTCGGCGGAGCAGGCTGTGTCGAGGACAAGTGATGTAGAGGCGGCGGTTCTAAGAGTATGGAAGAATCCGGCAGAGTCGCGAAGGAGCGTAGAGATGGCATGGCAGTCGGTGAAGCTGGAGTCGGCGAGAAAATTCTTGAAGAAGCTTGGGCAAGACTCGGTGGTGAAGTTGTTGGACAGGCTGGTGTCGAAGGCCGTGGGGAAGCTAGACGATATCGACGATCGCTGGATGATAGATCCGATTTCATCGGCCTCCACCTGAAGATGCTCGTGGGCGTGTCCTTGGTGGTGGATATTCGTCCCAGCGATGGGTGGAGCATCTTTGACGGACACTATGTCGACGATCTCTTGGTCTGGACCAGGTCGCGAAACACCCGCAGATTCTGCCACAGTCTCTTCAGCGATGACTGCTGGAAGGACCAGGGCGCAGACGAGCAATCCCCGTACGTGGGTGAAGTTGATCCATGATTGTGGGCGCATTCTGACCAAGGCGTGGATTCGCTACGGGCGGCTTCGATGACGGAGAGAGAGTGGCATAAAACGATGAGCGGCGGACAGGCGTGACGCGATTAAGATTAGTGAATAATTGAGCAATAGCAGCATCGAAGCAAAAGACGAGAAACGAGTGTGAGGCCGGTCCGCGGACTATCGGCAAGACATTGTACTGTATACTCCAGAGAGTGTGGCAGAGCGACTGGACAGACTGTGCAGAAGGCAACAGTCACATGGAAACAAAGGGCCCAATGGCCGAGAGCAAAGGAGCGAATGACAAAGAAAGCGCAAGGATGAAATGAACAAGAGAAGAGAGGAAGAGAAGAAGAGGAGAGGAAGAGCAAGAGGATTAGGGGCGATGGAGACGGTGCCCGGTCAAAGAGACTGAGACTGAGACTACTTTAGTGTGCCTGATCGAAGCGTCTGGACTCTGCCCATCAGCCATTCCTCTTCCAAGAGAAGCCCCCCACGACACCCGCCGGACGGCCAATTATTCTCCAGCTGTTCGAGTCCAAGATTGCGACTTTCGTCGAGCTTAGGGCTGACTGGCAGACTGCTTTTAGGCCGGTCTTTGGTCTCTGACAGGACGCCTGCACTGCCTGGCGTGACTGCGAGCACCACTGCTGCCAGTGAAGGATTGTCCCGACCCATTGTCTTTTGCGAGTCCATCTCGGGCGTAAAACCTACGGCAGAATACGGATACGACGACATCGCAAACCAGGAACCTACCTCATCGCTGTTCGAGCCCTCGAGGATATTCCGTCGTCAACCGCAGGAAAAGAAACCCGACACTCACCAATCAGAGGGGGCAGAACTCCTCCACAAAAACTGCGTCGAGTCCACTTTCTCTATCGCAGTCAGCAACCGGACTGCAATCATGACTCTTCCAACTTTCTGGTCGTTGTAGACAAGACACCCGCGCCCGCGTCAAGATCGTCTCCGCTCCTCTCGTCTCCCTCCCCGTCATGTCCGCAGATCTGGTCCCCGAGACAAGGGTCCTTGCCGTTGCCAGCCATGTATGTGCTCACCCCCACTATGCCAACCCACCACTTATCAGGCCTGGACACTGACAATTGCAGGTTGTCTATGGGTATGCAAACCCCCTTACTATGTTTCCAATTCTGGATCGGACGTGTGATTACAGCCAAGCTGACTCGATAACAGCCATGTTGGTAACAAAATGGCAACCCTCGTCATGCAGTCTCTGGGCTGTGATGTTGCCGCTTTGAATACCGTGCATTTCAGTCAGTACTCCCCCCCCCCCCCCCCAATGGCTATATTCAAGACTAACTTGGTTTTAGGCAATCACACTGGTTACCGCCAGTTCAAGGGTACTCGGGCTACAGCAGATGAGATCAGAAATCTCTATGAAGGCTTGTGCATGAGCAACCTCACAGACTTTGATGTCATGCTCTCGGGCTATGCGCCGAGTGCTGCTGCAGTTGAAGCTGTCGGGTCCATCGGTCAAGACCTCCAACGAAAGGCTGCAGACCGTCCCGGTTCTTTCTTTTGGGGTGCGTTGCCCACCTGTTGTTTCCGTCGCCTTCACCAAACTAACGAGGCCTTCCATACCAGTCCTGGATCCCGTAATGGGTGACCAAGGCCGTCTATACGTCAACGACGATGTAGTACCGGCATACAAGAAAATTGTGCAGCACGCCGACTTGATTCTCCCTAACCAATTCGAAGCCGAGTACTTCCCCCTTCTCCATTACCCCAACCCAACAACTAACCACCCCGCCGTCCAGAGTCCTCTCCGGTGTCCAAATAACCTCCCTCCAAACCCTCGCAAAAGCAATAACAACCCTGCACGCAACATACAAAATCCCACACGTAATCATCACCTCAGTGCAACTCTCCAAACTCTCCCCATCGCAAGAAAACCCCTCACCAGACTCCACCCAGAACCTTCTAACAGTGATTGGCTCCACAACCCTCTCCAGCGGCAAACCGCGCCTCTTCCGCATCGACGTCCCAGCCATAGACTGCTTCTTCAGCGGCACAGGCGACATGTTCGCCGCACTCACCGTCGCCCGACTCCGCGAAGCTGTATTCGCCGATCGCAACCCAGAGCTACGGAACGCAAAGTCCTGGGTTTCGGGCGACGAAGTACGGCCTACGAAGCTGCCGCTTGCAAAGGCCACCGAAAAGGTTCTGGCTAGTATGCACAATGTGCTGGAGAAGACTATTGAAGCGAGGGATGTGGAACTGGCCGCCACTGCGCCTGCTTCTGGCGGAAGCGAGGAGGAGGTGCAGAAGAGCGAACATCTACGGCGGACGAAGGCTGGGGAGATTCGGCTTGTGAGGAACGTCAGGTTTTTGCGGGAGCCTACGGTGGAGTTCATGGCGAAGGAGTGGGAGGGGGACTATTGAAGAACGAACCCAACATGTCGGGTTACATTGCATGCATTTGCCCAGTGCCCAGTGCCTAGGATCTGGAGTGCGATCATCATTACTAAACAACATATAGAGCATTGCTAGTGTTTCATGGTCTTTTTCATTGTTATTTTTAGATCATGAGCAGAAGCAAGAGCTCAACTCTGGTATCCATCTATCTAAACGTATCGTTCGTTTCGTAACGTACTTTTGATTCAGCACGAGTCGCCTCCAATCAAAAATACTTCTCTAGCATATCCAGCTTACCACGGGGCAGTAACTCGCTTAGTTCCCGGTACTTCCAAACCCACCAGCTCCTCGAACACTCTCCGCCAACTCCTCAACAACCTCGACCTCGGGTGTGTAAATCTGCATTTGCGTATCAGCATCCAGCCACATACCATACGTGAGAAGAGTGAAGAGTGTGAAAGGGACATACCCTCTCCAAAACAAGCTGCGCAATACGGTCCCCCTCGTTGATCGTGAAATCCACATCGGAAAAGTTAAACAGCAGAACCTTGACCTCGCCTCTGTAGTCAGCATCAATCACGCCAGCGCCGGTATCGATGAAGTGCTTCGATGCGAGTCCGCTTCGGGGCGCGACGCGGCCGTCTGGGTTTTTCACAATTCCAGTTAGCTTTCTTATTTTCCTCTCTTTAAGGGGGGCTTCGCCATTAAGTAGGGTAGGGGTAACATACATGTCCCCTCGGGAACAGCAATGGCGATTCCTGTGTCAACGAGTGCCTTTCCCTTTGCTGGGATGACGGTTTCCTTTGCACTGTAGATGTCGTAGCCTGCGGCGAAAGCAGAGCCACGGGTCGGGGCGCGGGCGGTGTCGACGAGCTTTTTCACCTGGAGAGAGGGGATGTTGGAGCCCATTTTGGAGGTTGGTTCGGATTCGGTGGGGTTGGAGGCTGTGTTTGAGGGCTTGGGTCGTTTGGCAAGCGGCGACGCGGGGAGGGAGGGTGGTTCGTGGGTTGCTGTGGTGGTTTCTTTGGGTGGTGGAGTGGTCTCCTTGGTCATGATACGGTTGATGAATGGGTCAGGGTGGGAATTGAGGAAGACAGAGAGGTAATGGAAAGAGAGAAAGTGCGGTGTATGATTTTCAGCAGGGACGCAAGCGATTGTCGAGTAGATATAGACTCCCGCACAGGCTGCGGAGCTGGAACGCGTCTGGCGGTGAGGGGCACGCGTAAAGTGGGAGGCGTCTGTTTGCTGCGTTTGCATGCCAATGAGTAAGCAAAGCCAAACTGCGCACATGGTCTGTCCCGGATGGCGGAAACTGAGCCGACGCCCCGCAGAAACCGATTGTGGTTGTGTCCACTCGAGCCTCGGTCCGGCTGTGGAAGCTGGGGACGCATTGCTCTCCGAGCCATCTTATTACCGGCAATGTTCCTGGCCTGGACATGAGTTCCCTTTGGCTTCAATTCCTGTATCTGAGCTGCCAGAGGACTAACCCATAACCGATCTCGCATCCATTGCATTTGCCATATTTGGATCATGGCTGGTGCCGTACGTCAACCGATCGATGTTCCAGCCCTGGAACGGTATATCGACCAGAATGTACCCGTCATCAAGACACCCCTGGAGGTGAAACAGGTAACTCAGTCAACAAATAAAACCGCGGCCATGGAGCCAACTTGGGGACAAAAAGAACCAACGCTCATTCTCTCTCTCATAGTTCGGTTTTGGCCAATCGAACCCAACCTACCAGCTCGTTGCCTCCGATGGAAAGAAGTTCGTTCTGCGCAAGAAGCCGCCAGGCAAGCTATTGTCAAAGACAGCACACAAGGTTGAGCGGGAATACAAGATTATACATGCGTTGGAGCAAACGGACGTGCCTGTCCCCAAGGCGTACTGTCTCTGCGAGGACAGCAGTGTAATTGGGACCCCCTTCTACATCATGGAGTTCCTGGATGGGAGGATATTCACCGATCCCGCAATTCCTGAGGTATCGGCTGAGGAGAGAACAGCCTTGTACGCAACTCTATATCTTGTGACTCTGTAATCATCTGGTCAGTGACTAATGTTGTGCAGGTGGAAGGATGCCGTTCGAACCTTGGCCAAATTCCATCGCGTCGTCCCCAAGTCCGTCGGGTTAGAAGGATTCGGAAAACCAACAGGATTCTATGATCGACAGATTGCCACGTTTACCACAGTTTCCAAGGCCCAAGCTCAAGCCGTCGATGTCGAATCCAAGGAGCCGGTCGGGGAGCTGCCCCATTTCATGGAGATGGTGGGCTTCTTTCAGGACAAGAGCACACAGCCAAAGGACCGTGGGACATTAGTGCACGGCGATTACAAGATTGACAACATGGTCTTCCACAAGACCGAACCTCGTGTTATCGGCGTGCTGGACTGGGAAATGGCCACGGTGGGCCACCCTCTCTCGGACTTTTGCAACCTCACCAGCCCGTACTTCCTCGAAGGAACAGAATACCAGGTGGAGAAGTTCAGGCCAGGCGCTGTCCCCGGTTTGCCCACGCGAGAGGACTGTTTGCGGTGGTACAGCGAATATGCCGGATGGGATCCGGCGCCTGAGATCATTTGGGGGGACGCATTCTTTCAATGGAGGAGCTCGGTCATCATGCAAGGCATCAAAGCACGCTATGCCTTGAGGCAGGCTAGCAGCGCGCGTGCCGCAGAGTATGCCCAAAAAACGGTGCCGTTTGCCCTCGGGGCATGGGAGCGAGTGCAGAAGGTGCAGGCAGTCCTTCGCCAGAAGGGCAAATTGTAGGGAGAGCCATGCCAGCCAGCGTGCTCGCCAGGCCGAAAGCCAGGATGTCTTAGTTCAGTAGCTGACTTCCTACGGGAGGAACCTTGTGGAGACTAGAAAGGCACTCGATTGCGTGGCGTTGGATGGTTTGTGCGTCTTTATTGGCATTTACATGTCATGCCTTATACGAATATATATATACATATGTATCCACGACCAGCGAGCAATTGCATGTTAGACAACCTGTTTCGAGGTCGGTGTGTTCGCAGAAGAGAGTTTAAATCAATGATCAGATCAGATGATACGAGCCAGACTTGAGTAAACGACAGAATCATTGCAGCTTGTCGGGCGTTCATGGCTTAGTGCTTCCCCACTTCGTACTCGAAAGGATGCGCTTCCTGTAAGCTGGCCAACTGGCCGACATTCATCGTACAGGAGGGGTTCAAACTTCAAACACTCGGGTCGACTTCGAGTTCTCGAGGCAAATTAAATGTACATGCAGGTGAGGGCTTTCTAGTGCGAGCAAAGATCCAAGGATACGCATCCCAGCGATCTCGGAACAGCTGTGATTGGGGATTTGGGGACGGCGTGGGTCGCGAAGGAGGAGATGATTGCAGCATCCACGATCCTGGAGGTTCTCTCATATCATCGACTGCGCCAAGAGGGAAACACCCGGCCCAGTGAGGCGCAACCAACACATCGTCAGCAATGTACGAGGCGGCCGGCCTCAAGGCTCACGGGAAAACGGGGTTCTCCAACTGAAACCAATTGGGTGCGGCTCATTCGGTGCTTTCTTCTCTTTCCTTTTTTCTGTAAGACGATGCTGATCTGCATTGAGCCTTGACCCGCCTCCAAAGCCTATACTCCGCAGTATTATAGGCACTACGACAATGAGAGTACGACCTTCTGACTGACAAGACTAAGAGGTTGGAGGTGTGCGTGTCAACCAATGGCGACCAATCCGATCACCTCCTGAAAGGAGCTCTCCCGTATGTCCACGCACGGATTATGATTGAACGGCCAGTGGGGATCAATATTCCAGATTGAGACCATCAAAAAAGGGTGGAAAAAAAGGGGCAAAAAATAAATAAATAAAAAAGACAGAGAGAAAGAGAGACAATCAGGATTTGGGACACGCAGGTTGGAATGAAGACTGCTGAGTCGCTGACTTGGAGATGGGGAAACTGGGCAGGGAGTGTTCGAGAATGAAGAGGGGGCGACACCGATGTAACGATGTCACATTGTCGAGCGGCTCTCGCGCCTTGAGAAGTGATGATCAACGCATTATTTATCTGAAGCACTGGGCGGCGGTTTCATCAACCATGAATCGGATATTATCGCTCGATTGAAGAGGAATGTGACCAGCAACATGGGCTCGTTGTGGTGAGACAAGGGGGACGACGGACTTGGAATTGCTCCCTGTCTGTCAGGCGGGCCATATATCTCGTCGACTCCGTAGGCGTCCTCTGAGTAGTCAGCGGAATTATTGCGGTGGTGTTGTCCTGCCGGCGAATTTGTCCATCATGTTCGTTTGCGAGGGTCTGGAGGGGCAAACATCTTCTCCTCAAGCTCCTTCTTGGGGCCAGACTCGGAGGATCGGTTGGACCCAGTTCGGCCGAGCGCCCTGGGCATCGTCAAAAAATTTACGAAGCGTCAACAGCTCTTGAATTGCATCCAATAATACGGAATGCTGAGGATGAGACAGCGGCTCTGTGGTCGCAGGTTGACCCTCCTTCAAGCCGCATTCCCTCCGTGAGGAGTCGCAAGTCCGAGGGCTGTTTCGCCCTCCACAAGTTGCAGGTGCATGGAGGAAGTGGGCTCCGTACTCCGTAGTGGAGAGGGGAAAGACAGGGAAACGTGGCCGATCATTTCAACTGCAGAGTGACAGTTGCTGCCACGAATCACCCAACCACTGCGGCGTGCCAAGAGAGATTAGCCCATTCCTGCTGACCAGGAGGCTGTCGAGGAAGGTCCTTTCCACAGAGGCCGTCTGATCAGTCCGCAGTCCCATCTGCGGTTGAGCCTTGTTCTCTGAGGACCGTGAAGAAGGATGCTGTTTCCAGAATCCCAGAAATCCTGGGAGAGCGGGAAGCAAGGGCGCTAAAGTAGTTAACTTTCACAGAGGCCCGTGGACTGTGGAAGCTCGATGGTCTCCAGGCTTGGGGCTTGGGATCCGGATCTGGACTGCAGAACACCCGTGCCTCATTGTACTCGCACGCGTATTCCCAGTCCCGCCAGCCACGCCCAAGGTTGACTTCCTTATTTTCCTTTGCCCCGATTCCCGAGTCTCGTTGATCCTTTTCCTGCCCTTTTCTTTTGTTCTTGCTTTCCCCTCTCCTCTCCACGAGTCCGAGTCGGGTTGGAGGTGGATATGCTTCGTGGCGGTCAGCGAAGGCGCGCATTGCAGCCTTAGGTACCAACTGCTGACAGTACACACTGCAGTTCCACCCAGCGCAGGAAACTCCTCAAGCAGGAAGCTCCCAAAGCAGGAAAGCGAGGCCTCCTGGTCTCTCGTGTAAACAAGAAGCGAATACGAGGAGCTCCCTTTAAGAAGCCCTCTCAGTCTCGAGGGTGTCTGAAAGTCGAGGGAGCCGGCGAATCCTTCAGGCAAGTTCCACGGCGGTTCTCTGCAGAAGAACGACGAGCACTTCAGCCTCCTTGTCAGCCGCATCCAATCAGCGGTGCAAAACTAGAGCCTCATCTGTGTGAGTGGAGCAGACTGGAGCCTGAAATTGATTTAGTCTCGTTTAGTCGCTCGTGCTGGTCGTCGCGGGCGTGGCATTACGAAATGCCGGAGAACATCTCAAGCAATCAAGTACTCCTTCCTTGTTGAGCCGGCTTGAGGCTTCTTCCCACGAGTGACTCGCCTCGAAACTCTTTTGAGCCCGCTGCCCGCCCAATCACCGCTCGCAGCCGCCGACGGACTCGGCAGGTTTCGTTCGGGATTATTATTAAATCCCAATATTATTATTATTATTATTTTCTGCATTATTTTGCTCATTCCCTGCCCCCCCACCTCTGCTCGCCTTGAGATAATTATTTCGATGATTGCCTGGTGGCGGCGTCTGCAGTCACCCCCTCGTGTGACTTTCTCTCCTGAGGTGCTTGCTTCTTCTCTCCATCACCACCACCACCATCATCATCGTCGACATATGGCAGTCACCGGAGGTGAAGGCGATATTTCGAGCCCCCGTTGATCAGTTGAGTTGCAAACCTGCACGGGTTTCAAGAAACCCAAGAAACCAATCCCTCGCCATTCGGGGACCTGACGGACACACAGAAGTGCCACTTCTTCTCCACTCCGTCGTCCAGATTTCAAGTGGTTCCAGAATCCAAGGTGCGGCGCTTCTGGCTGGCTTCCCGCTGCTCTCGGGATCACGTATAATTATTATTATTATCGCCCCGTCGTCCTCTCTCGTCCGCAGCCTCAACCACTTGACCGCTTCAGAGGCTCTGGCAGCTCTGCGTCGTGTCCACCTGCCAAGCAGCTTGAGTGAAGGCCTGATTCAGACAGAAACCACTGTCCAGTCCCTCCCGTTGCATTCCCTGTCGTTTTTTCTCTGATCAACGCGCCGTTCTGCTCCTCTCCATCACCGTCCTTTCCTTTTTGCTTCTTTCTTTCAGATCTTCCCTCTCGTATTCGCTTAATCGCTTCTTCCTCTTTCTCTTCCGTTTCCTCGCGGCGTGAGGTCATTCTGCCGCTGCTGCAAAATCCCCGAGCGGCCCTTTTGGCGCTTCCACCGAGGCTTTAACCAGCTCACCTGCGATCGACGCTGGCGTCATCCCAGTCCTTCAAGAGCCGGGTTTCTCTCCATTCCGGAACTTTGGTTCCCCAGCTATTTTCTTTATCTTGAGCGGAGGAGCTGCCTTTGACCTCTTGTCGGACCTCGCTTCTTGAGCCTCAACCGGTGCGCGATTCGTCTCCGATTGAGCCTCATCCGTTCCTGGAAAACAGGTGAGCTTATTTCGCCTCCGCCTTCCACTCTCAACCCATGTTGCTCTTGTTCCCAACCTTGCTGCCACCATGGAATCTGTCTTGACAACTCTTCATCTTCCCCGCTATGGTTACTTGCCGTCTGGGTTTTACTGGTGACTCTCACCCAACTGTCCTCGCACCCTCTCGCCTGTGTAACTTACTGCTCTCCCCTCAACCCCCCGATGCTTACTGTCGCGTTTCTCGGTAATATTGTCGCTTGTACTGACTTCCCTCCAGACTTAATCCTGTCGCGTATCCTGGTCTAATGGTCTAAGTGTACTCATTGTCTCTTATCTTCTTCCACCTGGGTGCTGTTTTGGAGCCTCTATCAGGAAAGACCAGAAAGCGGGGGAAAAAACGAAGGAAGAAAAAAAGAAGAACGTAGGAACACCTCGTCTAAGCGGGCCAACTAAACAAGCTCAATCGCTTTACGAGAGAGGGTGGCGCTCCTGATGCGCCAAAAACCGCCGCCTCCATGACCGAAGCAATGGGCTCCGATTCCCCACCGCTTGAAGTATTCAAGCCGAATTACAACCCCAGGAAGTCGACGCCGCCCCCATTTGAAAGTCAAGAGCAGTCATCGCAGCACGATGACACCAAATATGAGAGTAAGAATCTCCCTAGATCTAAGAAAATCGAGCTCCGTTTTGGGCAACGAGAGGCCGATGATGCCCTATGGCGAAACTCGGATTCTCACGGCTATTGGAGACCGGAAAGCAACCCAAGCCCGGTCGAATTGGGAAGACTCTCCTATGAAGCACTTGAGAGGCTTGAACGCCCACAGCTGCCACCTATGCGGGAACAGCCAAACCCACCAAACAAGCATCCCAAATTCAATAGCGATCAATTTACGCTCCCGGCGCTTCAAGACCCGTCAACAGGCCATTCGCCTAATGCTTCCAACACAAAACTACCGCCCATTCACACTCAGCTCGGGCCTGTATTACCGCCACCGCCTACCGGACCCCCTACACGCACTACACGGGCACCGTCATTCTCGCTACCTCCCGTCACCACCATCTCCCCGCCTTTGACGAGGGTTGAGCCCAGCCCTCGAGACCATTATCGCGTGCCATTACCCCAGTCAAAGATACCACCTACTCCGTATTCACATCCCTCGCCTGTAAGCTTGCAAGCCGCGTCTGTCGCGTCCTCGCCGGTCTCACAGCAGCCTTGTTGGCGAGGCGCCAAACCACTTGGGCCTTATCCATACGACTCGCAACCTATAGCCTCCAACAGGAGCCCAGCGGCAAGTTATCCGACGCCGATAGATCATGCCTCGGCCTGTGACCCTGGAAGCTTCACGCCTTCGTCACAAGGCAACGTGGCAACTGCTCCGACAGGTACATTCAAATGCTCACATCCTGGATGTTCAGCAGCCCCCTTCCAAACGCAGTATCTACTAAAGTAAGTACCGAAACCTGACTTGAACATAGGAAAAGAAACAAATACTGATAGGCTTAGTTCACATGCGAATGTCCACTCGCAAGATAGACCTCACTTCTGCCCAATTGATGGCTGTCCACGTGGTCCTGGGGGGAAGGGGTTCAAACGGAAGAATGAGATGATTCGCCACGGGCTCGTCCATAACTCGCCCGGATATGTATGTCCATTCTGTCCAGACCAGCAACATAAATACCCGCGGCCCGATAATCTCCAGCGGTAAGTTCCTTTCTACGGCCTAGTAAAATGGACCATGCTAAACAACCGCAGGCATGTGAGGGTCCATCATGTGGACAAGAATAAAGATGACCCGGCTCTCCGACACGTTCTCTCGCAACGACCTGAGGGAAGCGGCCGAGGGCGACGGCGACGAATAAATCCTCAATAACCTTTTTGCCGATTATACAATATTTCAATTCGAGCGCTGTTGAGAGACGGCTTTCTCCATCCACTGGAGAATAACGCGGCCAACTCATGAGAGGATCACAGCACATGCATTATGATATCTTTTTTTTATCTCTTTATTTTTTTTTTTTTTTTTAGCGATACCAGATGTTAGAACATTTGTGCCCGGTCATTCGTTTCTTGCATTCTCTTTGTCCGACCACCAAAGGGGCGAAGATGGAGCGTGGAGTGTAAACCTGAGTTCCGGCGTTGAGTGACTATCTATCTATTTTGTCTGTCATCTTCCTTCGTTTGTTCCATTTTGCTAAGGATATATGGCAAGTCTACTAGCGTTTTCGAGGTGTTTTTACTTATCTTCAGCTGCTTATTTATGAAAGCCCCACGCCTGATGGGAGGTCGGCGTCTATACTTCCCTACGTTATAGGCTTGACTTGGCTGGCGTTGATGGGCGGATTAAGCGAAAGAAAGAAAGGCCTTTCGAAAGGACAGAATGGTTAAGAAACAGCAACTTGAAGCAATGCTAGCCAGCTAGCCCGGACTATGACTATTTAACATGACAGTATTTTCAACAAATAGCGTATCCCACCACATAGAATCATACTTAAAAAATATGGAAGCTTGAAGCCACAGCCAAAACTTGCGCCGCCCGCCCGTTTATACTCATTCCATCGCCATGCAATCTGGTACAGACATTAATCCAACCTCACTTTCCATCTTCTCTCCCTTTTCATAAGTTCATCCGCAGAGCCAGCTCCGCAGATAAAACAAACCAGGTAGATACTAGTTAACCCTCAAATGAATCCTCCTCACATGGTCCTTCATGTTGTCCACGCGCGAGAAGACCCTCGTACAACCCTCCCCAGCCCACTCACACATAATGCCGGGGTTATGCTTCGCTTCATGACGATCACGGTCCTTCTTACTGCTGAACCCAGCACCAGGGACCTGCGGGTTTGACTGCGGACACCCGTCGTGCCGGCAGAAGAGGTGCTTCCTGTGTCGGTTATAGTGCTTGCGCAGGTCGCAGCCGCGGCGGAAGAGGGACGGCGAGGTGCAGTTTGGGTATGCGCAGCGCCAGGCGCCTGGGTGGGTGGATGATGGTGTGCCGTAGAGGGTCAGGTCTTTTGAGTTTGACGAGTTGGTTGAGGGGGTGCGGGATGGGGGGTTCGGAGATGGGGAGGAGAGGAGCAGGTCTCCTCTGGCAGTGGTTGTTTGGGGGTCGAGGTCGAGGTCGAGGTCCATGTCCATGTCGACGTCGAAGTCTGGGTCGAGGTCGGAAGAGGCGATGGATGGGATGGACTCTTGGTAGGATGTGGCGTGGTGGTGGTGATGATGATGGTGATGATGGCGGGGGCTAGATGCAGAGGTGGAGGCGTGTGACGGGTGAAGCCATTGTGAGCTTGGTTGGGCTTGGTTTGCTGCGATGTTGTAGTATGGGGATTGGTGCGAGATGTAGGGCTGAGCCTGAGGTGCTGGGTAGTAGGAAGAGCCGTCGAGCTGGCTGCCGTACGGGAGATACTCCTCTGGCAGGTGAACGGCCGGTTGACTGGACATGGGGGCGAAGGATGCTTGCGAGGTGTAGAGCATCGAGTCGTCTGGGAGCAGGAGGCTGCTGTCCATGGCTGCTGTCGTGTAGGGTACCTCGTAGCGTTGTCTTCTCTGTGGATTTGTCAGTTAACTATGCTTGAAGTTGGTTTGTCATGGACGTACAGCTCTGTTGTCTTCCATCTTCCATGCCTTTCCGCTATGTTGCTTTATAATGCGGTGGGAGTCGTAGTGGTTGTAGTCGCAGTGGTGTGGCATTCCATGAAGACCGTCAGATAGACTTGTAGCAAGCAGCATGACTTTATATCCTTCGTTCTGAGTTGTTGGTTGCGCAGTGATTAGTATACAAGTTCTATTCTGGAACTTGTCGCAGTGCAGTGCAATGCAATATCGAAACTCGCATCAGATTGAGCTGTGTTTTAATATTAGTAGTCTGCCAACATACTCGAGAGTCAGACGTGGCTATGCTAGATAAATGTTTCTGGCTGTCAGCCAACAGGGAAGCTGAACAGATGGTCCGGAAATTTCCCCCCAGATACATGTCTCGTCCCGCCCAGCTGGGAGAAGGAATGGATTGGTTACAGCGCCGATGTCACTGTCTCAGCTCGGTTGCCAAACGATCTACGAAACCCCACCGGTAGCTGAACTCATACGTTTACGTGGTAACTATCTCCGGCCACGGACTGGGTCATTCTTCAGACTTGGCTGGTGTGGGCCCGCTGCTCATTCGCTGTGTCGTGCAGCGTCTGCATGGTGGTTCGCTGCTGTCCCGGTAGGGCTGAACACACCCCCTCACCCTCCTGGCTGGGCCAGGGGTCCGGAGTAGAGTTACCACCGTCTAACTGACGCCCTGTTCTGAGTGCCCGATCCTACGGCATCCCCGATCTCAACTTACCGCTTCGTGAGGAGTGGGAGACAGCTGCACCAGATATGCAGAGAAAGCTTGGTTCAGCGGGCTGGCCCCCAGAGCGCGTCGCAAGAAATAGGCAATATGGTGCGCAGACCAACTGCAAGCGCCCCAGCCGGTAAACTGAGTAAGAAAACGTGCCCACCCAAAATAACCCCCGAGCCCCGACTTGGCAATACCCATAATTTACCTGGGAAAGCGGTGTTGTCATTGGATAGGCCGTACGAAAATTGTGGCTGATGCTCTGGCCAAGGCGCAGGGGACCGACGCACACTGCAGATCGTGACTCGAGCGCTTTACCGCCAGCTTTCTGGCGGACCTCAACGGTCATTCGTGCATTCGCCGGGCAACGCTCCAGACTGGCGGTCCGTCGGGTCGCTCCCCAGACCCGCGTTGACAGTGGCGAGTATCAAACAGCGGTGTCCCATTAGGCTCATTGCTGCGTCCAGCGTGAGTCTGCATGGATCTTGATGGATCTCTCGCTTTTTGCCGATAGCCCGTCCCTAGTTCTTGCGAGCTGGAGTTTTGCTTGCGAGGTGCAACGGCCGACTGTCCACCGACGCGACTTGGAAGCCACGCAGATCACGTGGCTGAGCTTGCGAGGACCAGTGACCCGTGCGCTCTGACTAACCAACCAGGAGCAGCGAAACTCCGACCCGTTTCTTATTCTTAAAATATCTCCAAACATTCAAGAAAACCAACCTCACGCTTCCCCGATCCGAGAATCAGACTGGTCCGTTCCTTGGGTTTCCTGAGAGACCTGCCCAATCCCACAGCTCCCTCTTTGCCTTTACGATCGCATTTACGCTTGACTCAGATCCGGACCCCACGCGACATCGCGCTGATCGAGAAACAAGCCCTACGAGGTGAGGATAGGTACACGCTGCTAACTATGTGGTTATTTGGACACTTCGGGGATAAGCAGAAGACCCTGGCAGAGAAGCGACTCGTGCTTGATTCATGATCGATCGATTCATCGGAGATAGCGGGCTTTACCGGTGTAGACTGGACAGCGTGCCCGCCGCCTAGCGGACTCGTATACAGCTTGTCTGATATCGACGATTACGCAAGCTGTGTTGGATTTTGTGCGTGGATACCACGTATACCATTCCAAATATCCCTACACATGGCTGTGCTGTGCTGTTATACTCTGTGTGCATCTCATTCGCTGGACAGTATTACAGTTGTTGGTTAAACTTCTGGAACTCTGTCTGAATAAGTGGGGGTGAAGAAGTGACGATTCTCTATCGTAACCCGACACCCAGCGAGTCAGTAATCCAAGTTTACGAGGAGGATCAAAGGATTGGGTCTTCAGCAGGTTACTGTGCCACCATGTCTCTGATCGTGACCGATTGATCGTGGCTTAGCTGGATCCTTGTGAAACGGTTTCGTTCCTGCAGATAATCTGATTCTCCTGATATTCTAAATGAGACGGTCCTATATATCTCCAAAAATACTCTTAATTATCGTAAGCATCACCACTGACAATCACCAAAAAGTACGCGGTACCCAACTCTATGCAGCCGAAGCGTTTGCTACACGCTCGTCCCGGTTCAGCAACAGAGGGCTGTTCTCATCAGGATTCTTACCGTTGTCTTTGCTCTCAGCATTTCTGTAAAGGATATAATGTTGCACCATGAAAATTAAGTCGAAGAAGATCGTGACGTTTGACAGCAATAACTTGATTGGATTCCCCGTGATGCCACTCCAGTCGTTCTGAAAGGCGGAGTCGATGATCAGTTGGACTAGCGAAAGCACGCCCCCTGTGAAATCCAATAATATCTGAACAATGCTCCAGCCACGTGTGGATTTACGTTTGTAGTTGACCCATGCTTGCGGGACGTACTTGACAACCGTAATCACTAGCTTCACGTATGAAAGGGCATAGATCTGGGAACTTCTGTCAGACAAGCCTAAAAATAGGTCCAGCATTGCGTTTGCTCCCGATTGGTTGTGCTTACCACGTCGATCCAAGCCCAACTTAACGGTTCATAGCCTTCGTCGGGACTCTTGGCTAAGACAATACAGATTACCACAGCAACTGCAGCAAACGAGCCCCAAAATAGTCCTGCAATCGGCTTACTGACTCGTTGGAAGCGCGACACCTTGAACCCCCATATTTTTGGGTAAAATTGTGAGTAGACCAGGCCACCTAGGACGACAGCGTGCAAAGCAAATGCGAAATCGTTGAACCGCACCGTCGGTTCTTGCGATACAGGATGTCGAGCAGCATACTGATGCCGAATAACAGGCGAGTATAGAAATGCTCCTGTATACACGGTATAACAGACGAACCCAAGAACATTAACGGTAGGGAAGTCGATGGCTAAGCCGGTAGTCGCTTTTCGGCGGTAGTTATCAATAGGCTGCGGATAAAACGAAGCGGACCAGCAAAATGTGCTTGACGTCTTTGTTAGCCTATGGTGCTCTGATATGAACAGTTGCTGTAACTATATCAAAGGCGTGGTTGCTTACTATATCCATCCGAGGAGGCTGTTATCGTTATTGAGATCGGCAGTTAGTAATGAACCCACCGACCGTGGGGAACGATCTCGTCAACCCCAATAGAAGTATCACCTACCGCGAGAGGGCCCTGGTAAAGACTTCGAGTTGCGACATTGCGCTGTCAGTCCATGGGGGAAGTGTTCAGGTCGAAGACAAATCGAAGACAAAGGATTGGGATCGCGTCATTCCAAGAGATAAGATAACGATCCGCTGGAGGTAGAAGGCGGTGAGCGGCGCCAGAATCAGTCAGCAACGGTTGCTCTGGTTATGCGCTGGCACGCTAAACCACAAAAGGCATTCTATTATTGGCTGTGGCATTCCCAGCCTCTCAACTTCTGCGGGTGAGGTCAATCAAATCTCGATCGGATGCATTGCAGCTGGCCTTCTTTCATCCTCTTGTACCTCTTCCTGGGATCCCTCGCTCATTGTTATTGTTGTTATTTTTGCGGCTGAAACGCCGCTTCTTCTTTGCGTGGTGAATTCCAATACTTTCATCTCTTCCCCGCCTCGATCTTCTACGATCAGACTGCTGCTACTATTCGTTTGCTCCACCGCCAGTCTCGATCGATCGCATACCAGGAATTGACACATTCTTCAACCACATATCCACGGTCTCGGGCAGCCATCCACATTATCCTCCAAGATACTAGCCTTGTCGATTCAACCCTCATCGTCTTATCGTCGCATGGTGCATTCCTCAAAGCGGGGGGTCTCAATAGATCTCCGACGGTAATCGGCGTCTGCTATCTCAAAGTCGTTTGAAGCGATCTCAGCCGGTCGTGAGCAAGACCTCGAGCCATGTCGGGCGGTTCAGGGTTCACGTCCCCTGGGGACGCCTCTTATGCCTCGAATACTCTGCATGTTGGCGATGGAACATGGGACCTCGACCGCGACACTTTTCTCTTACCCAATCTCATGGGTGTAAACTTCGAAACAATGCGATACAATGGTGAGCTCACAATAATGGTCAGTAGGTTTTTAAGTTATTCTTGCTAACATTTCTATAGGAATGGGAAACAGGTTCCGAGATATGCCTAACTACCATACTATTATTGCTGCTCATGGCATTATCGCTGCGATCGTATTCCTGGGGCTGGTTCCCTTATCGATTCTGCTCGTCCGGTATTACTCGCTTCGAAATCCGTACCGAGCCTTCAAATATCACGTTTGGTGCCAGGTTCTCACGTTATTCCTGAGTACTGTCGTATTTGTTCTTGGTTGGTTTGCTGTCGGTCCGAAAAGAAGCCTTTCAAACCCTCACCACGGAATCGGTCTTGCCATATACGTTATTATCATTTTCCAGATCTTCTGGGGTTGGTTCGTCCACAAAATTGAGCGGAATAAGAAAAGATACCACGTGCCTCTCAAATTAGTGGTAAGTAGCTTCCGCCGTACCTACAATATTGGCTCTAACCGGACTATAGATTCATCGGTGGATAGGCCGTGCTCTGGGAATCCTAGGGATTGTCCAAATCCCACTTGGACTCACACTTTATGGATCCCCAAAATCGCTATTCATCTTATATGCCGTCGCTGTCTTCCTTATCCTGGTGACATGGTTCTATCTATCCTATCGCTATGATTCTGACAGAGGGCCCTCTGGAGATGGAGACTATGACAGCCGCTATAGCTATGTGTCCCGTCCGGACGACGACCACGGCCATAGCAATCTCGGAAAAATGGCAGCTGCTGGAGCTGCTGGGCTTGGGTTGGCGAGCTTCTTCCGACGCCGCAACCGTGACCGAGACCACGACCACGTCTCCGATGGCTCTCACACATCTTACATGGATGAAAAATACTCGGATGAGGAGTCTCGCCATGGTGGCGGTTGGGGAAGCAAGTTCCTCAAAATAGGCGCCCTCGGGGGTGGTGCTCTGCTCGCTAAGAAGCTATTTGACAGGAGACGAAATCGAGAAGGTGATGCCGAATCGGGTAGATATCAACCTGCTCACCGTCGGACGGACAGCATGACAGAAGAGAGTTTAAGCCGCCTGGATGACCGCCCTCCGCCTGGTCCAAGCTATCCAGCTCCTATCAATCGTCCTCCCACCAGACCTCCCAGCAGACCGCAAAGCCCGAACTCATCTTATTATGACTACTCGTACTTGTCAACCCAGGACGAAGGTCCATCTCACGGCGCTCGGAACGCTATGTTTGGGGCTGGTGCGCTGGCAGCTATGAAGGGTTTCTTCTCCCGCGGAAAGAAGAGTGATGAGCAGCGTCATGTAGAGGAAATGAGGCGGCACGAACGTGAGAACGAAAAGTTAGCCCGAGCAAACAGCAAACGACGATACACTGGGGATGGATACTACCCTCAGCGGAAACGCCCCGCTTCCCAAACAGCTACTGATGTCTCCACGGATCTAACGCCTCGTCCGCAACGTGCGCAGTACCCGCCCGACTCGGCGCTCTCTGCAGGCCCCGTTGCTTCGGGGGCGGTCGATGGTGCTCACTCAGATATGCCTCCTGTCCCGCCAGTTCATTATGATCCAGCTTCGACTATGACACCCACAGGGCCTGGGGCGCCGCCTCCACCACAATCTCAATACAATCTAGCAGTCCCACCACCGGTCCCGGTTCCAGGACCAGCACCGGGCCCTCCAGGCCATTCGTCGGGACACCTGCCGCCTGCCGGCAGCGGCACATGGCAACGGGATGACCACGTCGAATCTCCACCAGTGTCAATCAAGGTGAAGATGCATGAGGATGGCCGGAACATCACGCTTCGACGATTAACCGAAGAGGAAGCAGCTGCCGGTCGAGAAGCCCGTCGTCGAGAGAGACGCAACTCCCGCCGCCGAAATGGAAGCGCGAGCTCTGTCTCTGGCAACGAGGGTACAGGCAGCCGTGACCGTTGGCGACGAGTTGAAGAACTCGAGCGCCGGCAACAAGAGCAGATGGATCGAGAACGTGCTTCAGCCGCCGCTGGAGCCGCTGCTGCAACTTCACCTCCCCCGCAACTAGCCAGCCCACCTTACGCACATGGCCCAGCAGCTTCAGGGAGCATCCCTCCTTCCCAGTCTTACATTCCTCCACAGCAGAGCACGAGTGGTTTCCCACCGCCGCGGCCTCCATCGACAAACCCATTTGGAAGCATCACATCGCCCGGCACATACACCGGGACCGACGCAAGTGAGTACGCCAGCAATCGCCGCCGGAGACGCGCGGAGAGAGCCCGAGCAAGGCAGGAGCGACAAGGACATAGTGTCGAATTCACATAATAAGCCGGATGCCACTCAAAACTTCTCTTGCTTGTCGCCTGTATAGAACAAAATTCTCACTTCACGATGTATCTATCTTCCTTCACCTCTTCTCCCTGTTTATTCTCCCTCGCATATAGTTCGATGATCTCCAAGGTAATGACGCTAGCGCTGGCTTTTTATTTTTCTCCTTTATTGTCTTTCTCATGTTGATTTGACTCGTTATGGACTGAACGATATTGGCTCTCTGGTTTCTTTTATTTGAAATTGGGTTGGAATGTATGCTATGATCTCTGAATATGAACCAGAGCCGAATGTTGAAATTGCGTTACGATTCAGCGCAATAGGATGGATATGCTTTTCCTTCTGTATTTGACTATGGGCATATCTTAAAACGGCTGTGTCCCTCGTGTACTTCGATATGCTAGATATTTTGAAATGAACATAATAAACCTACAAGAGGGATTAACTCCAATTGCATAATAGTATATAAGCCATAAATGAGCGCGACCTGAAAGTAAAAACCGTCCGGAGACCTCCGTACTGGAGCCTGGAGACAACCAAGCTGGCTGAATCCAGGCTAGCATGAGAAATGTGGAGGCTGAGGCTGGGTTGGAGGCGGTCTGCCTTGAGTGACGATGGCGGAAGTTTCAGTCTCCGCTCACTTCACTAGAGCTCCATTCGCTCTTCTTAACTCACTTACTCGACTTTTATTTCTTACCTGCTCTTATTATCTAACTACCCTTTCACCCTCACTCCGACTTCCTCCTCTCTTCTCTCTTCTTTCTCCCCCTTCAATGGTGGTTGCGACCGCCCACCAACAAAACCCAACCCCAACCTCTCCAAGAACCCCCCCTCACACGCAATGGACGCCACAATGGACATCGACATGGACCTCGACCTCGGTCCTCTCCCAGAGCCCGAGCCGATTGAGATGGTAAGTCTACAGGGGAACAAAGCAAATTTCCACTTGAACCAGTCCCAACTGATCGCATTGCGCACAGGAACAAACACTCCACGCTGCAACCGCCACCTCCGCAGACGGGACAATCGCCGACCCCCAAACAGCCGAAACCCAATCTGAGAAAGTTCACGTCCGTGGAGTAGATGAATTGACCACGGATAATATCAAAGAGTTTGCATCAACGTATTTCACTCTTGAACCACCCGCCCGCATCGAGTGGATCGACGATACCTCCGCAAACATCGTTTACTCCTCGCCCGAGGTCGGCCTACAGGCCTTAGCTGCCCTTACCCATGACGGTGAACTCCAAGAGGGGGGTGCTGCTAGCGAGACAGCCACTCCCACAGTGCCGGGAGAAATCCCCGTTCTCCGGCTCCGGTCGGCGAAAGTGCTCGCTTCACACCCGGACTCTGTTCTCCAGGTGCGCACCGCGGTGAAGGCAGATAAGAAGAAGCCGCGCGCATATGAGGCGAGTCGGTTCTACATGATGCACCCGGAGCATGACCCACGGGAGCGATTGCGCCGCGAACTAGAGACGGATCGGCGGCGCAGCGTGGGAGGAGATAGCGATGGTGACTACCGGCGGAGGCGGTTCGATGGACGGGAGCTGCGCCGCCGTCGGGATCGGGACCATGAGGAGGGTATCACAGCAAATATGTACGATGATGCTCCGGCGGGGGATCGTTCTGACGGGGACAGAGATTGGGATCGTGGGAGGCGGAGACGAGGAAGTGGACGTCGCGATCGCGAGCAAGAGTTATTCCCAGATGAAGGCTCGAGATCAGGACGACTACGCCATCGCAGCGCGTCCCCTGGTCGTGATACTCTTATGATGGAGGGTGGCTACATTGAGGAACGACATGAAGCGCGTCGACGGTTCCGTGAGCGCTCACCACCGGCCCGACGGAATGAAGGCCGGGAGCTATTCGGCTCGACTGAGGGGGACACAAACTCGCGCGAACTGTTCCCTAACAAGACAGCAAACACGTATCTCAAGAAAGAGCTGTTCCCGTCCAAGGTCAGCAACCATCGCCGATCCGACGCCATCGACGTCGCAGACGAGACGGCAGACTTGTTCGCAAGGCGTATATCGCACCCCTTAGTGGACGGCGCTCAAGACACCAATCCAAAGCGGAACCGTAACGTCGAGCTCTTCCCAGACTCGTCACGATCAGAACAAACCGGGAGAGGTGTCAACATCCGCGGGGCAGCCGGCGAAGACCAGGGATTTGCGATTCGAGGTGCAGCGGAAAACGGTATCTCAATCAAAGGCAGGGGCGGAGCATCGGTTCGCGAGCTCTTCCCGTCAAAATATAATAATAACGCCGGCAACAACGCCGGCAAAGAGCTGTTCTCTGATAAGATTGAGGGCCGGGGAGGACCGCGCCGGAGGGCTGAGGACATGTTTAGTTAGCGAGTGCTCACTGTTCCCTTCCCTGGCTCGTTTTGCACACTCGGTTCCTTTCATTTCGTCTCTAAGATCAATCATAGCGGTGGATATCTAGTTTAGTTTAATATTACGATCTCAACTACCTATACAGCCACGGCTTATTTCACCTGCATTGTACGTAGTGACTTGCACGGTATGTACCTGTTTGAAGTTTGCCCCAACTCATTCACTCCATTACCAGCACAGCCATAGTGATTAGTACAGGTTTTCTAGGTCCTCCATACTTGATACACTTGAAGTTCTTCGGAGTTATTGCATCACCTGATTCTTTGTCTGGCTTTAGGCTGAATTTCGCCTGCAAGTCCCAAGACTCCAACTTCAACCCCCGCAGGAAACAATTCATCCACCAAATAGAATCCCCCCAAGGCCGCTACTGTTTCTCCGAGTTTTACATATTATTGGATGTCATTCCGATAGTCATGGAAGTACTGCCATGTTGTCCTCCGTCGGGGTGACGCAGCAGATGATGCTGAGCTGTTGCTCAACCCATGTTTCTCCATGCCAGTGTAGGTATTTATTCCACCCCCGCCTTCTCTATCAAACAACCATCTCAAGAACAAATCCAGGAACTTGAATTAAAAGAACAAATCAACAATGCTATACGCCGAAGAAGACAAACTCATCTTTCGCTTCGATGACCACCTCCTCTGGATTGAACCTTGGAGCAACAATGCCTTCCGCATCAGAGCCACAAAGCTCGCAGCCATGCCCTCAGAGGACTGGGCTCTATCCAAGCCTGACCCTAGTTCATCATCCCAAGAAACAACCCCGACAATCTCCCTCCCCGCAGACAAGGAAGCAGAAGCAAGCATCACAAACGGCAAAATCCGCGCGGTGGTGACTAAACGCGGCAAACTGACCATCTACAACTCCCAAACCAACAAGAAGCTCTTGGAGGAGTACGCCCGACACAGACGCGACCCAACAGACCCGAAATGCAGCGCGCTAGAAATCGAAGCGCGCGAGCTCCGCCCAATCCCAGGGACTAGCGACTTCCACCTCACGATGCGGCTTGAGTCGCTCGACGCACGGGAGAAGATCTTCGGCATGGGCCAGTACCAGCAGCCTGGGCTGAATCTCAAGGGCGGGGACATTGAGCTTGCGCACCGCAACTCGCAGGCGAGTGTGCCGTTTGCGCTGTCGTCGCTGGGGTATGGGCTGTTGTGGAATAACCCGGGGATAGGGCGGGCGGTGCTGGGGACGAACACGATGAGCTTTGAGGCTTACTCGACCAAGGGGTTGGATTATTGGGTTGTTGCTGGGGATGGGCCGGCGGAGATTGAGGAGGCGTATGCCAGGGTCACTGGGTATGTGCCTATGATGCCGGAGTATGGGCTTGGGTTCTGGCAATGCAAGCTGCGGTACTGGAATCAGGAGCAGTTGCTAGATGTGGCGAGGGAGTATAAGCGCAGGAATGTCCCGCTGGATGTTATAGTTTGCGACTTCTTCCACTGGAAGCACCAGGGGGATTGGAAGTTTGATCCCGAGTTCTGGCCTGATCCAGGTACGTACTGACAAAGCCGAAGGCAGCAATTGCTAACGGTGCTCTAGATGCAATGGTCAAAGAGCTCAAAGACATGAACGTGGAACTCATGGTCTCCATCTGGCCAACCGTCGAAACCGCCTCAGAGAACTACCCCGAGTTACTCGAACAAGGCCTCCTAATCCGGCACGACCGCGGCCTCCGCATCGCCATGCAATGCGACGGCGACATCACCCACTTCGACGCAACAAACCCGTCCGCGCGCAAGTTCATCTGGGAAACCGCCAAACGGAACTACTACGACAAGGGCATCAAGGTCTTCTGGCTCGACGAGGCCGAGCCCGAGTACTCCATCTACGACTTCGACATCTACCGCTACCACGCCGGCAGCAACGTGCAGATTGGGAACACGTTCCCCAAGGAGTACGCACGGGCGTTCTACGAGGGCATGCAAGGGGCCGGGCAGTCAAATATCGTCAACCTGCTCCGGTGCGCGTGGGCGGGGAGCCAGAAATACGGCGCCCTCGTCTGGAGCGGCGATATTGCTTCGTCGTGGGCGTCATTCCGGAATCAGCTCTCTGCGGGCCTGAATATGGGCATTGCGGGTATTCCTTGGTGGACGACGGATATTGGGGGATTTCACGGTGGGAACCCGGATGACCCTGCTTTCAGGGAGTTGTTCACACGGTGGTTCCAATGGGGCACCTTCTGTCCTGTGATGAGGCTGCATGGAGACCGGGAGCCCAAGCCAGAGGGTCAGCCGACGGCGCCGGGCGCGCCCAACGAGATCTGGTCGTATGGGGAGGAGGTGTATGAAATCTGCAAGCGGTATATTTCCATCCGGGAGACGCTGAGGGGGTACACGAGGGGGTTGATGAGGGAGGCGCATGAGAAGGGGACGCCGGTGATTAGGACGCTGTTCTATGAGTTCCCTGCTGACGAGAGGGCCTGGGAGGTCGACTCGGAGTATCTCTACGGATCGCGGTACCTTGTCGCGCCTGTTTTGGGAGCAGGGCTGCGGAAGATCTCCGTTTATTTGCCTCGCGGTGCATCATGGAGGCTGTGGAATGGGGAGGGCGATGACAATGGCGAACAGAGCAGTGGGGAGACCTACGAGGGAGGACAGGATATCGAAGTCGGCTGTCCCATTGAGTCGATGCCTGTTTTCGTGCGCGTATAGACCCATCATCATCACATCATGATCGACGATGGATCAACAACATCCGTCCGTTCCAGGGGAGAATCCCCGTCTCGTGCTGTGGACTGGTTCAGGATGCGAAGGTGTAGATACATCTCACAACAGCAACAATGAATGCATCCACCAGAACCCGAATGTCTCACTCCATCAGTAAAAAACGACACTCTATTGGTAGAAATCATCAAATAAAGTTCCAACTTCCAAGGATCTTGCATCATCCTCATCACACCCTGCTAGCCTCGGGGCAGGAAGAAGCAATATACCAGATCTATATCACATTTGCACCTGCATATTGCATATATGTATCATAGACTCCCCGTCTTCCTTCTTCCCAAAAAACAGCGAGCCCCGATGTATTCAGGATACGATCGTGCTGGAAAACTCAATCGGTCGATTTGTCAATAGTTCTGCTAGTTCAGAGTCGGTCTTCCGAGATACATGCACGCTTTACTTTAGTTCAGTTCCGTTGCTGCTGGAGCGCGATGCGTTCTCTGCGCTTCGACCCGCACATGCACCTGCGCCTCGACGAGGATGCTGGAAACCTGAAAAGAAAATTTATTATTCGAGCTTAACTGGCTTGAACACTACTACTCGGGACTCGCGGGTCTCGTCTAATAACTGGAGTTATGGTTCGTTGTGGTTGATGTTCGTCCTCTTACAGTGTGCATCGGCCCGCCACCAAAATATATATTGGACCGTCACTGTCAAAATGCACGTCCAGTCGAACACGATCTTACCTGTCACTCTTAATTGTAAAAAAATCGTACACCGAGCCTACTTCAGACAGTCTACAGTGTCAAATTCTATGCGTGGAAGCTGACCGCTCCTGCACCGTCGATGGGTCCCATACTAGACGTGCTTGCTACGCACCAACATACAGCATCAATATCAGCAATACGTATATCCTCCAGCCATTACATTGTACTCATTTCTCCACGATTATGCATTATACTCAATGGTTGAACCAAGCCACCAGGGACAAGATCCCCATCACCAATACAACCGTGATATGCGATAGCCCACCGTCCTTGGAACGGGCAGAAGCACAGGCAGCCGCAGGCCAAAGCAAAGCAAGACTGGAGCAGTGACGAAAAGTACGATATACATCCATACACACTACAACCACAGCCTAACCCCGTTTCCTTACCCTGTTCAAAGTCAAGGTAAACGCAACGACAGCACAAACCGTGGGGTTAACCAGGTCGGGCTCGTTCCATGATTCAAGCAAAAAAAAAAAGAAAAAAAAAAAAAAAAAAAAAAAAGAGAAAAGAAAACCGTTTCTTGAATAGGAAGCAAGGGCGAGTCCAGGATAGACCGTAGACCAGCGCAACCAAAGTTGATGCCGCTGCCAGTGGCGGATCCAAGTTCCGGGGACGCTGAACCCATGGGTCGGGCAGACATGGGATCTGAGCGTTTGGGAACAACATTGACACCGGACAAGCCTATCGACGTGAAGTCGACGATCACCGTGGGATTTCCAAATTCCAGCAACGCACGCTGGTGGAACGAACGGGATGCGTTGTGTGAACTGTGAAGCGGGTGAAGAACCCGGAGAAATGGAGAGCCTTCCTCCACCCCACGGGCACCATCGACTACATCCACTACTGTACTTTTGGAATCCCCAGGGCCTGATGTGAGGACGTGCGTCCGATATCGCCTCGCCTCGCCTCATCTCTTGGTCGCCAGGAGCCGGCGTCAAATTGGGCAGTTTTACTTTTTTTTTTGGCGGGGACGTTGCGATTTGTGATAGTGATCTTGAGCTTTGGCCTCTTCGATTGCGCCGATGGCATTTCTTGCATCATACCGAGGCAGCGCCGTCTCATCTCGATCGTGATCGCAGTATAGTAGACGGTCTGCGTACTCGAATAGTGCTATGTTTGAGCACCATTGGCCGTACGAGGTAGCTCGCACCAAGACCTCGAACAAAGAATCTCTTGCGAACCCACTAACCAGGCGCATGGGACATCGAATGAATTGGACTTCTTCTTCATCTGAAATTCCAGATCCAAGGACAGCCCATGGTACGGCACGTTGTTGACAACGGAACGGGTTATGCTTATTTGTCAGTTGTCACGAGCAAGAACCAGGTGAATGACTCGAGCGAGAGAACAGACAAAGAAACTCAAACTCTCCATCGGCTCTTGTGGTTCCTGGGAAGATTCACGAGCTTTGATGCTATATTGGGAGTACACCGTGCTCCGGCGGTGCGGATAAGAGAGCATATTCCCAGGAACTTGTGGCGTTGGGACTGGGGCTGAAGCTGGACTGAAGCCGGAGCTGGGG